ATCTGCCGTTGCTGTGCCAACGCCCAGCCAGGCACCACCGCCGCACCGCGCCGTACCTGCAGCAGCAGCAGCAGTTATCAGTGAGACCCTTCCTCACCTTCGCCTCGCCTCGCTCGCTCGCTTCCTGAGAGCGACATTAACACCGTGCGGAACGATGATCCTGTCTGTTGTGTAAATTTAACAACAGACAAGCATCACATGACTTGCGTTAGTTAGTTGAGCTCCAAACCTAGAGTACCTACGCTAGACTGGGCAGGTAGGCACTAGTTCCAATTCGCGGGGAGACCAGGGGAGCAGCGAGAAAAAAAGGGTCGGAAAGCGAGGTTCGATGATGATCTGATCTGTGGGGAGAGCTCCCCTTCGCGCGCACTGACTATCTAGGGAGAAGAAGTTAGGGCCCCAGGGGGGGGGGGGGGGGGGGGGAGGCGAATTGGATACGCCACTGTGCAGCGTGCGTGCGTGCAGTGCAGTGTCTCTCGCCTGTTCTGCAAGCGAAAAAAACGAAAAAAGATAAAAAATAAAAAATAAAAAAAAGGAAAGAGTGAGATGAGACGAAACGAAATGAAAAAGGGGAGTTGCACCTTTTGTTTGTGGATGTGGATCGTATGCACTTCAGGCTTTTTCTTTCGGAAGTGACCCGAAACGCCGAAGAAAACTTAAAATCCTCTCTTGTTACTATGATGGGCTGGGCTGGCCATCCATGGCCGGGGAGTAAGGCAGCATGGCATCAGAATAGAAAAAGAGAGAAATCCGTACCTGATCTGAAATCCTGTTCTGTACCTACATAACACTCTATCTGCCCTGCCCACCGCACACATGCCTACGGCATAGCGCATTTTTTTTAATATCCATCCACCCTGTGCCTCGTTTCTCTACCTACACTGTGCTGCCCACCGCCCCCAAAGGTCTTAAGATCAACAGTTAGTTCCTCCAAAATCAGCTCTTTCCTCCCTACCCAGAGGAGTTACCTCCGCACTTCACTCCCTTCCCTCCCCCACTGCTATCCATGGAGGTCTCCATGTGCCGCTGGAGTAGGAAGGAACCCAGCCAGATATTACTCGTCCAATTCTGAAAGCTCATGTCTTTTTTTTTGTGGGTGTCATTTCCAATCTAAAAATCTGTGCATTAGCGCCAGCTGTTCCCAAAATGTTATTAGGCTTTTAAGCTTGCACTCTGCTACCTACCCTTATTGTAACTGGCCTCAGGGCTTCCTTGCCCCAATTTCCCAATCCACCTTTGGAAGGCTCTTAATACGTCCACACACACCCTCCCCTGGTTAACGTTCGAATCCGATCTGACCAATCGTATATTGCTCGTACTGCCTATAACGAATAATAAACCGTGCACCGCAGCCCTCATAAAGTTAATTAGTGAGACTGGAATCTCTGGTAGTTAGATCACGTAGCCTGTATCATAATGTGGTGTTCCGTAGTTCGAGAGAGGCTGTTGGTAGTTTAGGTTGGGGCCTAGGCAGGTAGAGTAGGTAGTTTGGTAGGTTGGTAGGGCCGAATTCAATCACATCGTGGAGACTCCCCTTGCGGCACCTTGCACACCTAGCTGGGTCTCTCAGTGGTTCTGCGCCGACCCGCCCGTTGGTTCTTGTGTGGAGCAAGCAGCCATGGCTCCATCAGTTATTATGACCGTCTCCCCCTTCGCATCCCCTTCTTCTTTTCCTCACCTTGTCGTCGACGTTCTTTTCGCTCGAAGGTGCCCCCCCCCAGTCAACATTCTACAGTCGCAGTCGGCTCTCACTCTTTCGAGCCCGACTCACTACATTCTCTTTGCAGCAACTGTCCCTCTAGGAATAGTCACTCCTTCTATCGAAATCCCACCAACCATCACCATCATTAATTCAAAAGATACCCAGAAAAATCAATTATACGATCCTTAAAAAAAAAAAAAAACTAATAATAATAATGCACACCTTCAAACTCACCACAGTCGCCGCTGCGGCGCTTTTCTTTTTGTCGGCCGTCAGCGCAGAACCCCATGCCGCCATGGCAAGAAGGCACATGCATGCCCACGCCCACAAGAGGGGGGAAATTACAAAACGCTCAACATGCGAATTCCCTAAAGATGCTGGTTTGGTCGCTGTAACACCAGGAGAGAAGAACGGTGGATGGGCCATGTCCCCAGATCAACCGTGCAAGCCTGGTATGTCGAGTGATAGGTTATGCATCTTGGAAAAGCTATCGTCTAACCAACCGGTGTACAGGGATGTACTGCCCATATGCTTGTCCTCCAGGTCAATTGATGGCCCAATGGGATCCTAGTGCAAAAACATACTCATACCCACAGTCAATGGTAAGATCTTCGAGCAGGGATGGCTTACTTAATATTGGAGGGGCTAACAATCGAGGTAGAATGGTGGCCTTTACTGCAACGAGGATGGCGAGATCGAAAAGCCATTCCCTAAGAAGCCCTACTGCTATGATGGTGCTGGAACTGTTAGCTGCAAGAACAAGGCTGGCGGTCAGGTCTCGGTTTGCCAGACCGTCTTGCCAGGTAACGAGGCAATGCTTATCCCAACCCTCGTTGAGAGCATGTCCGATCTCGCAGTGCCTGATACATCTTACTGGGCCGGAACTGCAGCACAGTGAGAAAAACTCCATACTTATCCAAAATTAAAATAAATCAAACCAACTAACTCGAATATAGCTTTTACATCAACCCTCCAGGTGTCAACCCTGAAGAAGCGTGTGTCTGGGGAACCAAGGACAAGCCAGTTGGTAATTGGTCTCCTTACGTTGCCGGTGCAAACGAAGTGGACTCTGGCGTAACCTTCGTCACAATCGGCTGGAATCCCATTTACATCGAACCTGATGTCACTTTCAGGGATGTTATGCCTGATTGGGGTGTCAAGATTGAGTGTGAAGGTGGAAAGTGTGGCGGTCTTCCCTGCTACATTGATCCTAACGAACACAGTGTGAACGAAGTTTCACAGAAGAACCCTCCCGGTGCTGGTGGAGCAAACTTTTGCGTTGTTTCTGTACCTAAGGGTGCAAAGGCAAACATCGTTGTGTTCAGCAAAAGCGGCAGTGGTGGTGGGAAATCGGAGAGCAAATCATCTTCCGCGTCCTCAGCCAAAGCTACACCAACTCCATCCAAATCTTCATCCTCTGCTAGCAAGACCCCAGAGGCTAGCAAGACCCCAGTAGCTAGCAAGACCCCAGTAGCTAGCAGTACGGCGTCAGCCAAGAAGACTTCAAGTGCGAGCTCCACCAAGAGTTCTGGAAGTGAAAGTTCACGCACCACTGACCCATCATCTTCTACAGAGACGGAATCTCCATCTTCGACTAAGGAATCGAGCCCGAAACCAACTAGCACTAAGGGTGACGACGATAAGGAGGATAAGAAGGACAACGAGGAGGAGGGCCACGAGGAGGAGGGCGAACAGGGCGAGAACGACTCAGAACATGAAGGCTCTGGTTATTCCGAAAACTCCGGCGACGACGAGAACTCCGGCGACGATGAAGAATCTGGCGACACAGCAACCCACCCCGATGATGGTGCCGAATTATATGTCGTTGATGACGACGGGACTTCAAGCGGATCGTCTTCTGACACTACTGGATATTCAAAGGATGCCACCGGCGCTAGCTCTGGCAACGAAGATGGGAGTGTCATCACTGTTGGTCCCGCATCATCATCATCAACTGATCAGCCACTGAGCTCTGGTGGATCGGTATTGTTCTCAAGTGCTACATCTGTGGCGATTTTCAGTATATTTTCTACTTTGGCTATTTTCTTGTAAAATTATCTGTCATGGTGGATTTTTATTGAAAATTTCTGGTATTTAGTAGGGTGGGAGCTGTGTTTAATTTATGTTTTGATGATAGTTTTTGCGCGGGTGTACTTTGCATTGCTTGTTCCGCTTATTTTTGGAGCAAAAGGATTTTTCTCTCCATATTTTCTATTTAATGGTGGTCTGGGAGCCTCTGTTCATTGGTGCGAGGGCGTTTTTATTGGTGACGCCTTTTTGCGTTTTTCTTCTTTATTATACCCCTGGTCTTGTACTAATTTTTCACTGTAAAGTGCTTTTTATTTTGCAATTTACCACCTTCGAGGTTGTTTGGAGAAAAAAACATGTGCTCTCCATAGAAGGTGGACTGGTTGGATATCATAACTAAATTAGTATTGGTTCCTCCTCGCTACTCTCTATTTCGCGTTGGGCCTTCAAGACCCCTGTTCTTAATGATTGTTGTTTGGTGAGCGAAATATTTGATTTGATGCGTCTTTAGCGATGGGAGGATTGTAAATTGCTGTTTTGTTTCCCTCTTGAGAGGATGTCAGTGACCTGGGAACTATGTTCCCTACTATTTCCTTTGTGTTTTCCTTTTGTATATCTGTGTGGTAAATATTGAGGGACTTGCGGTTCCATGGGTGATCTTTGCAAATATCATACTTTAGCGTATAATCATAAGAATTTGTTTCTTGTCTCACATCAGTTTCAAACTGTACCATCCCCCGTGGATATCAATGGATAAAGCAAGTACTGTTCAAACGTAGTAGAGATAAAGTCTGAAGTCAAGCGTGTAGTTTCTAAGCTCAAGCGGTGACATACTTAGGTGTGCTTTGGTTATTTCAAACGACTCGCCTTCGTCTGAATATGCCATATGTGTACTCAACCTTAGAATTGACAGATATGAAATCTCTATATACTATGGCTTCTGGCACGGTCTAGTTGTCCATGTCTGAGGCAGCACCACATTCATCATTACACACCCAGTACATTCGTCCAGGTATCTTAAAACAATCACAGATCCTTTATTTCCATATTCCTAGATCCATAATGTCTTACTTTCTCAATGGTGGCATTTTTTCTAATTAGTGTCAAAACCTGTCATTACCCCCCCGAAAATCCCCTAGAACCAAAATGGAACTATACCACGTGACGGTCCCTGAATCAGCAAGCACGGAAGCTTAGCTCTCCCGTCAGAAGCACTTCACCTCAACTCCGAAACAACCTCTCAGCTCACCTCCGTCGATTCTTGCCGGCCATGGTCCTTTCTTTCATCCTTATCCAGAACCGACAGTACGTAGTTCCTCCCCATCGCGCCTCTCGCCCCTGAAGATTGACTGACAGACTGGGCGCGCGGACACAGAGGCAAGACCCGGCTTGCAAAGTGGTATGCACCGTACGATGTACGCAATAACCCCATCCTCCTCATCTGCCCACCACGGGCGCTACAGCAATTGCGCGCAGAGATAGGCTATTGACATTTTCGCAGGACGAGGAGAAGGTCAAGTTGAAGGGAGAGGTACGTTTAACGTTGCTTTAAGCTTTGCCCTTCCGTCATTGTCGCCTAGCCGAATGTTTCAACGCTTGCTAACCCAACTTCCCCCTTGTTTCAGGTCCACAGGCTTGTCGCACCACGGGACCAGAAAAATCAATCAAACTTTGTCGAGGTACACACTCGGCCTACGTTATTCATCGCACCTAGCTAACGAGCGCAGTTCCGGAACAATAAAATCGTATATCGTCGCTACGCCGGCCTCTTCTTCTGCGTGTGCGTGGACGCGAACGACAACGAGCTAGCATACCTCGAGGCGATCCACTTCTTTGTCGAGGTCCTAGACGCGTTCTTCGGGAACGTGTGTGAGCTAGACTTAGTGTTCAACTTTTACAAGGTTTATGCAATCCTGGATGAGGTGTTTCTTGCGGGCGAGATCGAGGAAACCTCCAAGCAGGTAGTGTTGACGAGGTTGGAGCATCTGGACAAGCTTGAGTAATGGTTTAAGGAGACTTGGCGTGTTAATTTGATAGATACTTGTGACAAATATTGAGCTAGTGTATGTAGATAGTGCATAGCTTTTTAATTAGGCTAGCAAGATAGTTGCTCATTTACAGTAGTGAACTTTGCCCCGCTACAGTTATTGAGGAGAGAGCTTTAAGCTTGCCCATATTATTTGTCGGTCAATTCTCAGAACATATTCCGACCCATATATATCTTGCCCCCTAAGCTGGCCGCCAATCGGATCACTCTCAAAACAGTGGTCAATAGTCAGAAGTTAATTACAATAGCTCGGTCTGTAATCCCACTACCAGGAGGATTTAAATCACTTTGCCCTCAATGCTTGCTCATTGTATCCACTCAAGCATATTTGCAAACCGCCAATTTTGACAATTGACACTTCAAATTTGACGCTTACGGAGGCAAAATTGTCACTTACTATTTGCGATCAGGGCTTGGTATGAGGACAATAACTCTCAAAAGAAAATAACTCCTCACGCTTCTTGTGAAATACGCTGGCGGTATATAAAATACGCCCAGCCATTACCATGATGTCAACTACGGGCTTGATATCATAAGAACTGTAAACCACAGTCCGGCAAGCAACCTCCTCTCCAAAATGGTTTTGACAACTGACACGGCGAATTAACCACACAAGGAAGGTGCGATTGGAGTAACTCTGGAGATCAAATAACTTCTCGCGCTACCTACGATATACGCCGACAGTATCTGAAATGCGCAAGCCGCAACAGGATGATAATTACTGTGGTGTCCAGTAAGTGTATTCTGTATTCTGTGAAGTAACCACACCCCAAAATTGACATTTGTGGGTGTCGCCTTGGAGAGTAGCGAAGTATTAATCATCAGGATTGACGGTTAGTAGATTTAAACATGCTCTAATGTAGCTTTGGCCATCTCGTTTGTTCATATCGAGATAAGACTAGAGTACAAGTGACAGCAACTAAAGCAACTCGGCCGGCTTGCTTCCTAATCGCGGAATAAAGAATCGAGGGGAGAGCTTTTTTTTTATCTTCCACTTTTTTATTCACTCTCGAGTCGCGGGGGGGCCATAAGTGACGATAGAGGTCTAGTCTTATTTCCCCTGGCCCCTAATTCGGGTTGGTTTAATGGCTGAGAGAATCGAGTGATATTGTGTGACTCCATGTAAAGCTGCGCGCCTTGCTTTAATCAATTCCCACAACTTGGGTCACAAAGGTCGCAGCGACCCAATTGCAGAAAACTCTTACCCACCCCACCTAACCTTCCTCCTCCATCAACCACTCTCCACCTCCTCCCCACACACACAATCCCCACCCAAAACCACCCAAATAATCGCTAGAAAAAATGAACCGCCCTCGATTCCCACATCAGTTCCAACCTCCTCGTCCGTATGTTCCTCTCTTCAGTCGTCTCCCCATGTCTGTCATGGTCGATATCATGGTTTCAATGACTTTCGCCGACCTCTTCTCCTTCATCCGGACATCGCACGTCCATTACTACATATTCCGGATTTTTCATGCCCAAATCATCACCCGCCGCGTCCGCGGCCTCTTCGGCCGCTGCAGCCCCGAGATCCTCACAATCCTGCACTTTCAGCGCCCCACTACTCTCCATGCTCCCCTCGCAACGGTTCCAAAGGACTTCTTCCTCATTCCCACCGACATCCCCAACCTCCGCAAGAGCTACAGAGTCTTCCTCAGCGTCGAAAAGAAATTCTACGAGCAGCAGCGTGCTACACGTCTTGCCCATGCGGCGACTGGAAGACCCTTCAACGGAGAGGTGACCATCTCACTGGGCCGCTTCTATGTGGCCTGGCTACACTCCCTCCAGTTCCAGTACGACGACATGACCCCGTTCCTGGCGCGCCAAAGGTTGTCGCGGAGAATCCTCAACAGCTTGCCCGACCTTTCGGCGGCGGTGCTGGCCTGTGACGCCTATGAGCTGATGAATGAGTTGACGGCGAAGCGTGTGGTCGCTGGGAGGCCGCATGTTCCAGATATGTTCACTTCATATGTAAAGTCGAGGTCGTCTTACCTCACCAAGCCAGAGCACTTTGAGGGCCGTAATGAGATCGTGAGGATGAAGCTTGTGCACCATTTTGAGATCAAAGTGCTCTCCGATTTTCCGGCCGATGATTGGATGGAGGCTATTAAGACCCCCTATTTTAGCGGGATGGTCGAGGAGTTGATGGATGATTTTGGGGACGGAGAAGGGGATAACATTAGGAGAATCGTTGGGAGAAGTGGGATTGAGAAGTCGGCTTGCCCGGAGTAGGGGTGAAGAGAACTAAGCTCTCTAATGCGGTTTGAGTTCTTCCTTTGCGGAATGGGTTCTAGGGTTACCATTACTGTGTTAAATATACATGGCAATGTAGAAATAGTCTATGAAATATGGAATCATCAGTCGTCAATTGACAGTAACAGATAAGACTTCCCAAACAACATAGAGTGACTTGTGTGGTTGTGAGGTTCGATGTTTTCTAGGGGACAGTGCTCATCCTAACGAGCGTAGATCATGCATGGATCACTATATAATCAAATTATAAACCTTTATACAATATCATGCACTTGTACATACATCTACATGTAGTACATGTACTCATGTTCATCCTCGTCCGGAGAACATGTATATACAAGTACAAGTATGCACCCCCACTCCAATTAAAATATCCAGAAACTAGAAATGAATCACACACCGTGCGTACTAGTTGTGCTAGTTGAGTTCATCAAAGCGAGTCTTTAAACACCAGTCTATAACATAATGTGTGAGTTGTAATTGGTATTACCAATACCACCCAGAGTGATAGAAGAATTAAACTTCTAAATCTTCCCCACTTACCACACCCCAGTACATCCACCGAAAGGCATACGTCTAACAGCTTCAGGGTTGCGGACTACCACTCATGTAAATATTCTCGACCTAGCTAACTCTAGGGACTCACAACTCCCAGTTCATGGGCCGGTGAAAGTGCCACAACATTCTCCTATTGCGGCTACATGCATATTCCCACCGCAATACTTGGCGGAAGCGAGTGATATCTCATGACCGTAGAATTATAAAACCCCCCCACATCACTACATCAACTGATACGAAAGGGGACAAATGCAACAAACCAATCACGGGTTTGCAAAACTTTGTTCAAAAATTGGCCTCAGGCTGTGAAGGTATTGTATTGTGTTAGATTAAGTATTCTTCTGATGCGCTGGCTGATAGCGGTTTGTCCGCGCGGCGAGCTGAGAAGATCAAGCACTCGTTTTATTCTAAGAGGGGTTATATACAAGTATACATGTCTTTTCTCCCCGCAAAGATACAGAGCGTGTCTCAGTGCATCAATGTACTTGTAGTGGTGGCTGTCAGTACTACCCGTACCCAATGTTGGCGTACGTAGGAGCCATGCAGCGTTTCCAAGCTAGTCTACTATGTAAGCCGACCCGTCCACACACATCCAAAAGCACCAACAAAACCATAGCCATCATAGGGGTGGTTGAATGGTCTAGCGGTATAGGGGTCTTGCCCTATACAAAAAGCTACGATCGTTCGACCCCCCCCCCCCCCCCCCTGCGGACGTAGAGTAGGAGATGTAGCAGCACTAGGCTGTGAACTCTTTTTTGCTGGCGGGATAAAATATTTTTTTTTCTTTCTTCCATCCTTTTGCATCTTCCTGCCTGATGGATAAGATATTTACTATTAATATTCTAGTCTCGGTTGTGATTTGAGCATTTGTCTGTCTTGACGTACGTGTAGTGTGACAATAAAAAAAAAAAAAAAATGGGAGCTAAAAGAAGAAAAAAGACCCCCAAGTCCTACGCGGGAAAACAGCCACACCTATCAGTCCCTGATGTATGAGATGCACCGCTCCTACGTTAGAGTAGCAATTGATATAGCAATGACACTTGTTATATTTATTAACCCACCCAATTGTAGTGATCGAATATGCGATTAATGAATTAAAAAGAAATTTAAATTGCAGTGGATCATACACTATCACTCGCCACTCGTACTCGTCACGGCTACAAAGAAATCATGATAAAAAAAACAAGAATGACTTGTTTTTGGTATATCCCATATGATTATCTACGCTATACAAGTGAGCCTAGGATGGGTGTGTTATCGTCATTGTTATTACTAGCTATTTTATCATTACGGTCGTTTAATTCCCTATGCGTATTACCCCCCCCCCCCCCCAATCCACCTTTCACCCCTCTCTTCCAGCCCAATCTCACCATTCCCACTTTCCCCGCCTCCCCTCATCTCACCAGCTTACTCCACTAGCGCCTACCCCACCAACTCCCTAAAGTTCCTCCACCTCCTCCCCGTCGTCACAAACCACTCCCACTCCCCCTCCCCCTCCCCCTTCCCAGCCCCAGCCCCATCCTTACCCACACCGCGCACCACCCCAGGACCCACCGCAAGCTCCATCTTCGGCACCGGACACACCTCCCTCTGCCTCTCCCTCTGCCTTTCCTTCCCCAAAGTTCCAGTACTCACACTCACTCCCTTGTAGTAATCGAACGGCACCACGTTACTGTCACTACGCTGGAGGTATAAATACGCTGCGAGCCCGAGCACAAACAACAGTAGTAGCACTCTGAGCGGCTTTGAGAGGTTGCGTGCTTTCCTTTTTGGCGTGCGGGTGGTGGGGGTGAGAGTGGGTCTTTTAGCACGTGGGGCGGCGGTCCGGGGGGGTATTTTGGACTTGGGTGTGGATGTGGACGTGGAAGCAGTAGAAGAAGCAGCAGTAGAAAGAGTAGTAGCAGCAGTAACAGAAGTAGTAGTAGCAGAAGTAGTAGGAGTCCTATGTCTAATCCCACAACCCACAGCACCCAAAACCCGCACAGCACCGAATTAGCCTACCCAAGAAAAGCCAAAAAAAACAAAAAACAACCACCCACACAGTTCAAAAAAAAAGGAAACAGCTCAAAAAGAAGAAAAAATCCCCAGAAAACCTATAACCTTTTCAGCGCAGCAAACCTCGCCGCCAGATCATCATCATCCAGCGGATTCTTCTTCTTCTTCGCCGCCGCCGCCGCCACCACCGGCGCCTTCTTCCCCACCACCGGCGCCGTCGTCGTTCCCGGAACCTTAATCGTCGGATGCACATTCTCGGTCGTCGGCGACGGCGGCGCCACATTGACGGGCCCCCTCATCGTCCTCGGCGGCGCCAGCTCCGCATCGCCGAGCGCCACCGCCTCCGCCGAGCTCGGCTCATCATCATCATCTGCCGGCGGCAGCGGCGGGGAAGTCGGCGGGCTCCGCCCCCACGCAATATTATACGTGCGCGCAATCTCCTTCAGATACAGCGTGACGAGCGTCTCCGACGGCGGCTCGACGCGCAGCTTCTTGAGCACGCGGTCGCCGACTTTGTTGTCTGTGTTTTCGATGGCGGCGAGGGCAAACTCTTTACCGTATTTCTCGACGAGGAGCTGCCGCGCTTGGTGTAGCTCTTTGATCTCGGTGCGGGGCGCGGCGTAGATGATGCTTTTGATGGCCTCTTCGAGGCCGGGGTCGCACTCCCTATTCCGCTGTCAGCCACTCCCGTCCCCCCCGACTTCAACTCACTCACTCCCTCATCCGAGCTTCTTCTTCTCTAAGGGTAGATGGATTTATGCTATACGTACTTTGCCTCCATCAGCTGCACCCTCGCCAGTAGCAGCTCACAGTACAGCTCTAGGATCTCCATGAGCTCGACCGAGATGTCCTGGCGGATGATGTTCTCGACGCGGATGCGCGCCGACTCTTCCTTGCCCTGCTCGAGCAGCTGTGCCATCTGGCGGCGGTTGACCTTTGCGAGGGCGGTCTCGCGCTGCTGCACCATGCGCAGGCGCGAGACGGAGAGCTTCAGCGCCACTTTGAGCTTTGTCTGTATGTGCGGGGGAGGGGGGTGTTAGATGTGGCGTGTGGGGGAGGGGAGGGGCGGGGCGGGGTAGAACTTGCGATTATGGTGGAGGGGGGGGCCATGTCTGTCTCTGTCTCTGTCTCTGTGTGTGTGTGTTATGTATGTGTGTGGTGTAGTGTGAGATAGCGGATAGATAGAGCAGAGTTGATGGCTGTCACAGTCACAGTAGCTAGAGAAGAGAACTGTCCCTTCTTCCCCATCCCCCACGATGACGACTCCCGCCAAGCACGCAAGCCACACCCCCACCCCGCCCCAGTCCACCATCCACAGCCATCCCCCGTCCCACCACATCTCACACCCGCAGCTTTGCCATCTATCCGGTCTTATGCGCAATCATGAGCTCTGCTCTCGCCCGCCAAGCCACGAAAGCTTAATTAATTAATTAATTCCCAGCCCCAAACCCAGAAGAGAAGAAAAAAAAATTAAGGGACAGAACTTTCTGTGAGACTCCCCACCACCCTCACTCCTTTCTCTCCAATCCTCACCAGCTCAATGGCCGCCGTCTCGGGTAGTAGCGGTGCGATGCTGAAGGCGAAGGCGACGAAGCGGTGGGGCGCGCTCAAGGCGGAACTGACGAGAGGTATGTATCTCTCTGTGTGTGTGACGTCGGTCGGTTGTTAGGCGGGCAGTTGTGTGGTCGGTCGGGCGGTGTCGCGTGGGCAGATGGGATGAAATGGATGGAACGGAGGGACAGAGGCTCATGAATGGGTGTGTGTACAGACAGGCTGCCGAAGCGTATATTCAAGTGTGTTCTTGCGACAACTCTGACTGGTATGTTTTCCTGCAGTACTACTTTGTTCCCGTTGGTGTGGGTCGGAGCTGACATTTGACTGGTGGTTATGTAGTTATCATCACGCTCCTGCCAAACATTCGACGTATGGCACTCTGTTATTCCTATTGCTACGATATGCCCACGATTGGTTCAATTCAGAGTACATACTGATCCGGTGCCAAAGATGTATACGGCCCCGCCGCCTACCTCGCCTCCATAACGACTGTGTTTGTGTCCTGGCCCCCCTCCCCGCGCTCGCACTCACTTGTTTTTTCCTGCCATTCCCTTGCTTGACCCCGACACTGACTCTTCCACAGCTTCGGTATAACCACTCCTGCCACAAACCTCCCTCCCGCGCTTTTTCTAACAACTTGCCAGGACACCCCGGCCGCCGCCTCGGATCCATGGTAGAAGGTACCACCCACGTCCTGCCCTGCCCTTAAAAAAAAAAAAAAAAGGCATCCAAAGAATCACTGACTCACCGCTGCCAGCCCTAATCCTCTCCGCCGTCGGCGCGATCATCGGCGTCGCCTGGACCACGCTCGCAACCTACCTGGGCTCCCTCGTGCATGCCTCGAACCCGCAGGCAATGATGTCCATCCGCGCAGTGTTTGTAGTGATAGCGCTCTTCGTGCACGGCTATATACGGAGCTCGACGCCGCGACTGTATCTGCTAGTGCTGCTCATGATATTCCCGGTGCTGATCGGACTGGTACCTCCCCTCTATCCTCCGGCCGACTCATGTGTAGATATGAGAGAGAAAGAGCATTTACCTGATTTTTTACAATTGTGAACCCACCCATCATAGACCTCACCCTCATTCGAAGTATCGCCAATGTTCCCCAAACAATTCCTGTACCCAATCCTCACGGCCGTCGCCATCGTCCTCCTAGTCAGTGTCCTCGTCTTCCCAGAGTTTGGCAGCACCTACCTTGGCCTCACCACCATCCAGACCCTACAGTCCACCATCAAAGTCCAGCGCTCTGCCAACGCCCTCTTTGTCGCCTACGCTTCCGCCACTGGCGACGACAAGCTTCTCCGCGAGCTCACGGCCTCAAAGGCCGACCTTCGCCGGCAGGTTGCCGGCTGCAAGGGCGCACTGACAGAGTGTAGTTTTGAACTTGCCTTCTCTGTGCTAGCGCCGTGGGAGCTACGGCCGATTGCGAGCCGCGGCATCAAGCGCCTGGTGGCAAACACTGTGAGTCTTGTTGGTGCGTGCGAGAGCGAGTATGCGCTTCTTGGGCGGGAGCAAGGCCCCGACACAGAGAAGAAAGAGAAAGACGAGATCGATAAGCTGCGGCCTAAGCGCGAGATTGAGGGCGGCGATGAGCGACTACTACGCTACCTCCTACGGCGGTGAGTGACCGAGTGATGTCCCATGATGACAGTTCGAGTGATAGCCCATGACTCATTAACTAACAATACCCCTACCTCCAGAGTCGAGCAACCGCTGAATGGCCTCCAGGAGGTGATAGACCGCTCTATTGATATAGTTAACACATGTGTTGCTTACACGTACGACGTGCCCACACTCCCCTCTCACAAGCAGGGCGGGACGCCGCGGCGCCCGCACGGCGTCCTGCTGGAGGAGCTGGATATATATATTGACACCCTTTCATCCGCGATCTCACGCTTTGGGCAGCTGACTACTGATGCTCTTGAGGGCGCCGCGGTGTTGACAGAGCCTGTGGCGGATGCGGAGGGGGACGTAGACGTGATGCCACGTGATGAGGTCTTTCTGATCTCGTCGTTCATGCTGAACCTGCGGCAGGCAGCCAGCCATACGCTGGACATGCTGGTGTGCAGTCGCGAGCTGGTCGAGAAGCGGCTAGAGCGCCGAGAGCGCCGGCGCCTCTGGTTTCCCAAGATTAGGTTTCGCAAGTGGTTGTTCTCTGGGCGTGAGGAGGCGGACCGGATGCCGTCTGTGAACAGGGCTGCGTTTGCCGTAGATGGCGCGGACGGCGAGGAGTCTGATTATAGTTCGAGTCGGGAGACGCTGACGCGGGAGCGTCGACGGCGCGAAAAGAAGGCTAAGAAGGTGCGGGAGAAGCTGGCTGACTGGCTGGAGTGGATGGCCGCTAGCGACGACGTGCTGTATGCGTTTAAGCTAACATTGGGTGTAACGATTTGTGCGTGGCCGGCGTTTGTCGGGAGCTGGGCGGAGTGGTTCTATCTGAACCGTGGGGTATGGGTGGCGTTGATCTTTATTCTCGTTTTTGAGAATGCAGTGGGGTCAACAATATGGATTTTTGCGCTCCGGGCGGTGGGGACCGTGATTGGGAGTACGTGGGGCTTTGCGGCGTATAAATCCCGTGGAGGAAATGCGGTCGTGATTGCGGTGATGATTATGATTGGTTCAATACCCAGCTATTATGTCCAGCTGGGGACAAAGTATATGAAGGCGGGTATGGTTTGTACGATTAGTATGTGTGTGGTTGCAGTGAGCACGCATTTGCAGACTGTGCCCGGTAGCTCGGAGGAGAACTTTTACAAGAGGACGGTGACTATGCTGATAGGTGAGTCAATATTTTGAACTATATAGTAAGGGATGGAGGGTATTAGAAAGGGAGAGGGAACAATTTGCTAATGTGAATGGTTGCTTTAACTAGGCGGGTGTGTGGCCACCTTAGTGCAGATGATCATTCTGCCCGCAAAGGCACGGGTGAGGTTGAAGGAGAGTTTGGCTTCCGCCATCGTCCAGATCAATAAAATGGAGTCGTGTATTGCTTATGGCGTGGACGAGATCCGAAACATCACCAGCTCGCCGCGGGTTTTCAAGAAGTTTGAGCGGGCGCGGAAGAAGGCCGAAGCATCGTTAGCAAGCGCAGAGACGTTTCTGACCTACACCCGACAGGAGCCCCGCCTCAAGGGCAGCTTCGAGATGCAAGAAGTCGTCTATAAAGAGGTACCATCTCACCTAAATGAATTTCATAGCAGTTTAGTCCCCTAATCTGTACACCCCTCAGATCATCTTTGTTCTCCGGCAGATAGTCGACCGTATGGAAAACTTGGTTCAAATGCGCAAAGCCTACGGCTCGGCCATCCTCGAACAGTACAACGCGCGCGTCTACAACTACCGCCGCAACGTCGCCGCCTCCATCACTTTAATGCTCTTCGCCTGCCATGAAGCCCTAATCACCAAGCTCCCACTCCCACAGTTTCTCCCCTCGGCGCGTATCGCGCATCTACGCATGGTAGTGCGCGTCCGCCAACTGCTCATGGAGGAGGAGGACGAGCAATCGCATGAGGGTGTTCACCCGGCATCGCTCGCAAAGCGGCGGGCTCTGCGGCTAAAGTTCTTGTCGTGGAACGCGGCCACGGCAGCGCTCGAGGAGTGCATTGAGTATGTGGAGGAGCTGGTGGACCTGCTGAAGATGCTGGTGGGTGCGAATGAGTTTAGGTCAGGGCTATTAAATAGGCCGACGTATCGTGATTATGTGCAGCGCATTAGGGAGATCCGCACTAGAGGTCCTAATAAGGGCGAGGAGGATGGAAGGACCGTGACGACGGGGAACTCATTGGGGAGGTTGACGAGTAGGATCATGGGCAGCGGTATGGAGGATCAAGCGGAGGCGGAGGATATTCCAAATCCTTTGCAGAGGATTCAGAGTAGAAAGGCGGCGGGGGCCAAACTAGGGAAGGTGAAAAGCGATGTTGTTGGCGGCGGTAGTGGCGGTCGTCGTGGGTCTTCAAAAGAGGAGTGAGTGAGAGGGTCCTGATTTTTTTTGTAAGATTTTTCCTTTGTTTATATGGCTGGTATGGATATGGGTGGGCGCTGGACTTACACTTGGTTTTATTTTATTTTATTTTTATAATTATAATTCTAGTCTCCACTTTGGTTGTGTGTGCATTAGGAGGCCGTATCTCTTAATGGCTGGATTTATCTTGTCAGTTGATGTACCATGAATCCATCAATACACAATTAAATACTTTGAAAATCTGAAGTTGTGTGCTGTGTAAATACATGCATTGTGAATTAGCGACGGTCCAGTCTGGCCCAAAATTCACCTCCAGATGGGAGTACTCACCACTTTATATCCCCCGAATCATCTCGAGGCGAGAGGGCTGCAGCATTTTGCGGTGCACATGCTTCGTTAAGGGTATGCCTCTGACTATCTCGAGACACCGAGGTACATATGTCCAGCGGAACACACCGAGCGCGACACCCCCAAGGACGAAACGACCGACAGACCACACCCGTCGCCAAGATGAAGTTTTGAGTGTGATAGTCCTCTTCCCCAAAGCCTACTGTGGCTGGAAAACCCATAACCAAGACGCACACAGCTTTGAATATTTCGGTTCGTCCCTAGACAAATCACAGAGATGATGGTCTGTGACCCCCCGACCCCGCTACTTATAGATGTACCAAATAGCTATAACCACGTTACAAGAGGCAAACATAATACTACGTTACATGTCCTGACACCTATCACCACACCAGAAATATCCGATGGGTTACGGAGGAGCTGGTCTATATGGGTCTTCCAAGAGAGGCGCGCGAGTGAGTCACTGTGCATCACTCATTGCATTCCAAATCCGACCAGGACCATTCGTTCCAGCAACAGCTAGCCCCAATGTTTACCCACTTTTAACCCTGGATTGATTACCCAGGAAACCGTGGGAGCTGCTGAAGAGGTGTAATAAAAAAGCATAGCAAACTCGACCCCGCCTATGATGGTAACAGGCCCATGGTTAGATGTAGCGGGCATATACTCCTATGGGGTTTTGTTCATAGCACGCTTAACCCTGTTCAAGAACAGGTTATGGGTCTTGGCTCACGAGGAAGTGAACTTCTGGAGGTTGCGACCGTGACAGGACTGAGATGTAGGAGCAGACCTGTGAACAGCCATGTAGGTTTGATGTGAACTGTGGCGCATTGGCACTTGCCAGTCTTCATTACTGGACCAAATTCAGTTGCGGACGAATGGATTGCAATCTAAACGACTATTCTAAAGGGAAAGGGGGAAACGCCAATAACTGAAGCTCTGCCACAAGTACCCACATCTATCTCAAAGTCTGCCAGTCCTAAAGAAAATAAAGGAAATAAAAAAAACTAAAAGAATAATAGAACATAGATTTGAACAAAATGGATTCGGGGGAAAAGGATAACAGCTGGGTATAGTCCCTCTCCTTTACGCAAAAGAATCTAGCCAAAAACCAATCAACACATACCGCCCACTCAGTTTTCCTTTGTTTGCTCCTCGACCTTCGCTTTTCCTCCCCTCCTCCATTTGCCCATCTTTTCGGTCAAGTACTTTGCACTCCTCACCGGCCCCGCCGTCAAGACACCCTTCAGGCTCTGCGCGGTACTCGGCCAGCTGATGGTGCTCTTTATCACCTTCTTGACCTTATCCGCCATCTCATCCGTACCACCCTCAACTATTCTCTTTTCAAACTCCCCTCCCTGCTTCGGGGCCGCGCGCTCATCGTCTTCTGAGAGATTCACCATCTTCTCGAACTCAAGTGCCGGAATGGCGAACTTCCGCTGGTACTGAAAGTAAAGCTTCTCCCTGAAGCTCGTCGGGAGCCTCCGCACCATATTCGCCCGTTTCGAAGGACTCATATCTTGGACTAACCACGTCTGCTGTGCTGGCTCACTCCACTCCTGCCCGCCGCCCTTCTCGTAGCTCAGGTTTGGGAGCTGCTCTATCACCTTTCCGTACAACAGCCTGAAGTGGGCGAGTTGGTTGTCGACGATGTTGTCGATCTTGTTTGGGTTCTCAGCGCCGACGCTCATGCGTGGGTCGCCGAGGTAGGAGATGCCTGTGATAGTTGAGTAAAGCTGGTACTCGGTGAAGCGCTCCGGGAGCATGAGGAGTGCTGTACGCGTGGCCGCAATGAGGTTGGCCTGGTAGGATAGAGTGATGGTGGGGTCGTCACGGAGGATCTGGACTGGCTTTTGGAGGCGGCCGGCAAGGTAGAGGGTATCCCATGTCTTGAGATCACGGCGTAGGGTGTCGATATTTGTGACGCCGTATTTCACTAGCTGTGGAATACGGAATCAGCCTCTACATTTCCCATAGCAGCCGGGGGTAGTGGCATTGAGATAAGGAGGAGCATACAGTTCCGTTGATATCGACATAAGGATTGAAATACACCCCCGCACCCATCTTATCTTGGACATAGCTGATGGCACCGCTGCCCAATGTTCCCATGAACGAGTAATGGTCTCTATGCTGCCCCAGGTTTAGACTGTGCCAGTGCTGCGTGTACGTAACACCAAACATCAAATCGATCATTGGCTTCTTTCCTGATGCGCGAGCCGCCGCCGCGCCCTGCGAGAACACGCCCGACCCATATGCGAACGCATACCTCACCGGAGCCCGGAACTGCATCATCAGGGAACGTAAGTATCCTTGGAGCTCATGCGCTAGCGGTAGGTGCTGGTTGAACCCCACGGTCTTGGGTGCCTTCTTGGGGCTGGTGGTGAGCGGGATAGGGTCATCGTCAAAGTCGGCGGGAGGAGGCGGGATCTTAGATGTGGCTTTGTCCTCGAGGTAAATAGGGGTTGAGCTTAGTGCTCGGGGGTGCTGGAGGCATTGTCGTGACTTCCAGGCGGGGGTGACGAGACGGGTGTAAGGAGAGCTCAATGAAGGCGGGGCATGGAGGGAGAGCTGCTATAGTATCAGTGAATGATGAATTAGAGAGCATTTTAAAGGGGTATATCAGGGAAGAGACCCACTGAGAATCGCGAGGCCATTGGGGGATATTATTTGGTGGAGCGCGGGTAAGGGGGGGAGTTGAGTTAACTTGGCTTATAAGTATATATGGGGTGCTGGGATCAATTGGTCGGCGTTCTCGATATTTTTTGATGGAAATTGTGTTCTAGGGGGGTCTCTAAGGTGGGGAGGAGTATCAACGTTTCGTCTTGTATTCCGGCTATTGCAAGAGGGGAGATACGGGTTGGTTGGCTGTTGGTTGGTGAGAACATGTGCCAAGAACGTTGAAAGCAAGGCACGCCGATCACCCACAGAGCCGCAGAAAACTTCGGATATCCGGGGTGGGGTTTCGCGGTAATGATCAAACTAAGGACTTGAAACGCTGAGTGATCGTTGATGATCCAGAATTATGTATGATCCTTCTATCTTGATGATCCCGCATGTTCCCTCTTGATCCCGCTCCCTCTTGGTCCCGTTCCTTCCTGATCTTACTTCTCTGGATGCTTCCCTCTAGACTGATCTAGCGCCATCAGTCCCGTCCGTAATTGACCCTTTACCGCCCCCCCCCCAACTTTCTAAGCCCACATGCATATGAACACCGGGTATGTGCCTACATATCTGTAAACTACATTTAGCTAACATGAGGACAGAAACCTGATCATTCCACGCGGTGCCGTTGGAATTAAACTGTAAAAGTGAAAACCCGCAAAGATAAAAACAAGAAATGAAATAAACTTAAGCTTGAAAGCATGGGACAGAGGAAAGTCAAGACATTATAGGGCCATTCACAATACAGCGGGTTGCTGTTCGATTATGATTGTTCGGACAGACGGCGTTACTAAATTTACCAAGTTTGACCGCAGCAATATTTGCAAGCCAGTACATCTGACATCCTTAATTCCTTATAATCGAACACAAAACACACTTTACATAGTAATACATTCTCCAAATCCAATTACACACCCAAATAGGCAGTAAAATCCACCCAGCAGACCACCCTACTTCTGTTTGCTCTCCAGAATCCTCTTCTTCGTCTTCTCCGTATAAGCTTCATCCCAAATATTCGTCACACTCAGCTTCGCCAGAATCGCCTCAGTCCATGCAGTCCAATTCTTGTTTTCCTTCAATCTTTCCCCCACAAAATCTGGTATCCAACCATCCTTACCCTTGATAAATGAGTTGATCCTGACCACGAATGATGCCGTATTAACCTACCAACATGATACCAGTCAGCAAACAACCACCACCATATACTCTTATCACTTGAATCTCTCACCTCGGCCAACGTCAACTCCTTGCTACCACCAAAGAACGGGCCAGCGCCTTCAAGCAACGGCGCAATCTCTTTTTCGATCGCCTCAACAAACTGTGTACCCTTTGCTATCTTCTCCTCCTCGCTGTCTGCGCGAAGAGTTCCATAAAGCCCACTTATAATCTTTGTATTGAATGTGTCGACGAAAAATGCGATCCGAGCTCTCTTGAGCGCTGCGTCAACGGTTCCAGATGCAGGGAGAAGATGCGATTCCTTCAGGTCTGCAAGGAATTGGGTGATCACGCTAGACTCGGTGATGATGTGTTCGTCGTATTTAATGGTTGGAACTAGGCCTCTCTGTTCATCGTGTCAGTACTGCCCATAGGGTCATAGAGGAATAATGTATGGGGTCTGTTTACAGGGTTGATTTCGAGATATGAGGGCTCACGAGGAGTGTCCAAATCAATGATTACCTCCTCAAACTCCAACCCGAGCTCCTCGAGCGCAATGTGCGCACGGTGGGCGAAGGGACAAGCGTGGTTCGTGTAAAGAGTGATTTTTCCCATTTTGAAATTCTTCGTAAAACCAAATCTAAGATCGTATAAAGGAGAGATGGAGAGAGAGGTGCGCACTACCTTAGCTAGAAAATAAAAAATTAAAAAATTAAAGGCTGTGTTCAAAGAGAAGCTTTATATCAATCAGCAGCGGATGATATCATAATCGATCACCTTAGCGACATGGTTAGATTAATTAAAAGAAGTTAGTAGAGAAATCGGGAAGCTCGACAAATCATGGGGAGCATTTATAAGCTATCGGCCGAAATGGATTTGTAGAGCTCCGGCCCCATCTTAGTCAAGGCCGGCTTATCACCTATTACCGAGTGATAGATCGATATGCACGCATTGCACCATCGTATGTATGTATTATTAAGATAGAGGTCTGAATAGTAGCCTGAAATTAAGCATTTTGAGCCGCGTGCGCGCAGAGAGTCGATCGTACTGTAGTAGCCTCCACCCTACTTACATTTACATTCATGCCGGGGTTGTACGTCCGTCGCTCCATATAACCGCGATTCGGACCCATTAACATTTAGAAATTTCTCCTACAGAATTCAACCAGTATCTCGCCAATGATATGACCATGAGCTATATCCCTAGCTTGACATTCTAACGATATATATTCTAGATCTTACTTCTTACTTTGATATACTCTTTGTATAGTACATCACTTATGGGTACTTACGATTGTAAATCGTATTCGATCATCACAGCAACCCTTTTTTCTTTCTTACATGCAGGAATTCCCTACCTCACTGAACTCTGAAAGTTAAGAGGATACATCTCCGAGCGCTGTAATTACGATACGTATATACGCACATAGGTGGTATATTGGTGTTCATCATTCAAATCTGGCTCACATAAGATTAATGGTATTACCGCTATGTACTGCGTGGTGTGTTAATAGTAATGAAACCCCATGCATGAAACCCTATCTAAGCCGGGAGCCCCGGGGTTCATATGAAAGCACTGCCAGTGAGGGTTTGAGAATATCGAATCTCAGTGCTGAATAATGTATGAGCTTGCGAGCAGTGTGATTTAGGCAACGTCATTATGTAGGTTATATGGGCTGCGATTTGGTATGTTCGAATTCTTGGACGTACGTTTCTTCTTTCCACGGCTATTGTTAGCGACGTATTAATGATGGACAGTTTACTGACCGGGATCCAACTATGCGTTATATAGTGGTGGGTAAAATATTGATGAACTGGGGCTCAGAGGAACGTATACTACTGGCAAATAGTATCGTAGGGTAGAGTATAGGGTAGGCGTCTATTGGGGCACTAATCAAGACAGAATTAAACCACTACATGTAGGCCTGCAGGTGGAGGAGATCTTAACTGTACATTGATTACATGTATGCACATACGTTCGGATCCTAGCTGTGCACAATATGATATCTGTTAGTACTGCACTGGGTGAGTAGGTACATGTACTTATAATCATACTTCATGGCGCAATTACCTACTACAGCAAGAGAAAAAAAGAGAAAAAACATGTATCTAGCCCGGTAGAAAGGGGAATTCAAGAATGATCCTCACCACAAATACACCACGACCGTATCATGAGGCTTAATGACTAATAACTTCTAAAATCTTTAACAGTCCCTTGGTATTAATTATAATCAGTATCCCTTAGACTATCAGTCCAAGCCGGAATCACAAAAATTAACTGTATAAGGTAGTTGTTCTGTGCTGAACGCCGTGAACGTTACAAAGTTTGTATACTCTCGTTGGGCTGTACTGACTCAATGACTGGATGAACAATGCCTGAGTTCAGCAGAGCAATTAGCAATTAAGGTTAATTCTGTGGTTGTGATTTGGACATCACTTTGAACCAGATCAGCAGACCGGGCCGGGGCGGAAGGTTTGATACTAGTGCAATCAAGCCACACGTATACTTTCTCGTATTATCGACACAGAACGTATGCGTCATATCAAGAAAGTCTACGTATACGATAAGGCTTATTTGCTATACTGATGCCCAGCACCTCGCGCGAAGCGTTGAAGACACACGGTACTTTATCTTAGCCATAAAACAACTGTGTAATCCGATACCCGCTGACAAGCCAGCTGGACGTCAAATTCTGGTGCTATCCATTTGAATGAGTATGCTCTAGACAGATACTTAGCATATACAAGCCGCTTACCTTATTATCACCTCCTCATACACACTGTAGGTCGAATAGGGATCGAAAGAGAGCTAAAGTTTAAAGTGGCTCGGATATATAAAGCAAACTTCTATGGCAGAACTTCACATGTATAGCCTAAATTTGCAATTCAAGTTGTACGTAATAATCCCTCTGTTTGTGGATTTAGATACGTACAGGATGAGAAAAAGCCTTGACCAAAACTTGGACTCTCACGAATTTCATCGCTAAATCAAATCCTCACCCTTTGGTTGTCTGTAAAATACCTTTAGGTTAACCCTCAGATCATTTACTCACCCCAGTTTTTCCAACATAACAGTCGTGAGGTTATTTATTTATTCGCCCAAATAAGAACTCCTGAAAAGACCACCTTCCTGATGAACGCCTAATACATCTGATCTAGATCTAAATACGCCCTATAACCTTTTATTCTATACATGATAAAACGTCCCAAGAAAGCCTGAAATACTGATGATAAGAAATAGCAAAAATTCAAGGACAAAAACAATGGTTGGCTTGCAAAACTCCGCCCAAGACTTAAAAACGCCTCTAAAAAATGGCCCTAAATGCCAAGTCATCACTGATCTCGAGTATTACCACTTGAAAGATTAAGTCGATCTCCGACGTTTCAGATAAGAGTTCCCTGGCATACCATAAATGTGTTGGGAAGAGCTTTCGATCCAATCTCTGTCATGATACCTGCATTTGAGAGCCATTAAACTCGATGCGGCCTGTACCTCCTCCGGTTTCTCCTCTATCTGGCTAAAGATAAGCCTATCGTAACATTCGCGTGTGAATGGATTTTGAATGTGTGGCAATGATTCGTCTCGGGACGACCTAGGACCAGCATTTTGAAAAGTTCCGACCTCTAACTTGATCCTGTTCATATACGGATTATTGAATCGGTGCGGCTCTGTTAATTTCGTTTTCTTATTGGGAGGCTGCTGAGAGTCTTCTGGGCCCAGTTCAATTGGGGAAAGCAGAGGAACGTCGTTTGTTTGGAGGGATATAAAAGCATTCTTTGGATTACAACGCTTAGTGGCGCCTTTCCCTCCCACCTCTCTAACTAATGGCTGTGGAGTAGACCGATTTGTTGTGGAGAGCCTTCTGATTTGGGTATTCAACGATGGACTCGTTGTGGGTCCATCATCAACCCTTGGATGCCCCAATGTCGGTACTCTTAAGCCTTCCTGGATCCCCTGAGCTGCTGTATTGGTTTTAGATGGTCGAGTTCCCCGCACACAACTTTCGTTGAAGTAATAATGCCCGGTAACGGGGGAGACGGGCATCTGCATGTATGTGTGCTGCCCAACTAAGGGAACAGTTGGTGTCTTTCTTGTAGTAATATTCCCGCCAAATGCACCGCTGTAAGTGACTTTAGGTGCCCTCTCAGATTTGAATACTACCCCAGTTGAGGTTTTGGCCAGAGCTGAACTGTTTACCGGCCGAGAGTTACTTTCTAGTGGACTACAATTTTTGTTGACCCCCCCAAGTGTCCAAATTCCGCGAGCAGTATCATAGTATCGACCTGTTTGACCAGACTTGTAGATTTGAATATCTGAAGAGCCTCCACTACTATCAGATTTAGGAATACTGTGGACATGATCGTGGTGTCTAACACTCTGGCCAGACTTCTGGGCCTGAATAGCTGAATAATTTCCACAACTGTCTGACGCAGGGATATTGCTAGCTGATGTTAGTTCCTTAGGCCTAGATTCCGATAGTGTTGCAGAATTCGGCCGACAAGGGCTTGTACTAGCCCTCTGCTTTTCAAATACAAATTGTTGGGCAGATGTTTCCTTGCAAGACTCTATGATTTCGAGGTCGATTGAATATTTTCCAAAGTTTGGATGTGACTCTGGGAGACATAGAGGGGGAAAATCTTCGCCGAAGATGATTGTTAGTGCGTAACGTATTCGGAAACAGAACTTCGTGGCAAGAGCTTTTGCTGCGGGATAAGGAATCCAGTAGCCTTTTTGACAGGGAGAAATTGTTAGATTTTATTTCCCATTAAAGAAGAGATGAAGTTCTCTCAAAAGACTGAGGGCGCGACCATGAAAATGGCGGGTGGTAGGTATAAAAGCGATAGATTTACCTTGAGCGTGCAAATTTCCACCTGTGATATTATGGCAAATTGATTGAAGGCCGGGGTTTATTTTCTCTTTCACTGCATTCCCTGGTTCTGTCTGATGGGGGTTATTATCAGTACTCAAGCTCAAATATCCACGCAGCTGCATGTAGCGCGCGATACTCACCTTCCCCGGTTTACAACAGTCAAAAAAGTCATGAACCCTGACAAGACCATTATAGTAATCCCACATCACCCACCAATTCTTTTCTTCCCCCCTTGTATTGGGTGCCGTGAATCGGTATTCAAATACTGAGATGTAATCAGCAAAAGTGATATAGAACAACACGGGGAAAGGCCCTTACCATCAAATCTACTCCTACCAGTGCTTTTTAGGAAGCTCTCCTTTGCTCCCTTAAACGGTATACTTCTAGAGTAGTTGCTGATCCCATCAACAGGGTATACATTCAACTCCAATAACTTCTGGCGATGGTATTCAGAGAGCCCTTCGTGACAAGGATAATTGACTGTTTCGATAGGCTTGTTTCTAACGAGTGTCCTCTCTTTCGTCACCCTTGCCTGACGACCGGCGCGACGAGTGGTTGTAGAAGAAGACACAAGAGCCGGTATCAGCGGATAAATAGGAGTTGGCGAACTGGTACAGGTATAGGCGTTGGAAGTGGGAGTGTAAATGGCGGTGAAGCTGGGAGCCAAGGCTGGAGTAGGTAGTACCAAAGGAGGTGTGGAAATTTTAGAGATCGTAGATGCCGCGTTTGGAGTACATATAACTTGATAGTCAGGTGGGGGAAAATCAACACGTGATTCGAGATTGGGCTCCATCTTAATCCTAGGGGATGAACCAAGCTTGGGTGTATCAATCTGCGCAGATACAGCCGACACCGCCTTGCGTGGTGAGGAGAGTTGGGCCATTCTGATCCACTTCGAGTGACTATTCGTGAGCAGCGTACGTCGTTCAGGACTCGGGTGATCAAGTCAAAAGTGAAGGGGGTTCTCCTGGTTGAACCTTCAAAGATGGACAGCTCGAAGAAAGTAAAGTTCTACAAGTGCGATTAGAATTAAGAGTGTTGTTTGAAGATTTGAGTGTATAGAGGCGAGGGCGTAAGAGGTTATTTATTAATTCCGACGAGTGAAGCCCTTTTATTGGATGGGAATTGAGTACAAGCCCGTTTGGTTTCCCTTTCTTCAAGCTGAACGCGCAGTGGTTTCTTGCTAGAACGGTGAATGACTGACACGTCAAACAAGTCCAAGTCAGTTGAGCTTTTTTTTTATTGTTATTACCTTTGGACTATCACTGTTCTCTCTCAACGAAGTAGGGGAGCTCAAATGGAGAGCTGAGCGGAACTGAATGGCTTGCTGAAGAAGATGGCTCTTTCAATTTTGTCCTGGCAACGAGAATAGCGGGTTCTTTTCTATAGAGTACCCCACAAAGCCGACACCTAGAACGGATCAGACTCAATGGGCAGACTTAGTCTTTTTGACACGACAGTTGAATGAGTGTAACAGCAACGTCAATCTATCATGCCGGCCTTACTCACGCAGAGATAGGCTCGGGCTCTTTGTCTCAAGAAACGTCGAGCACCAAAGCACCGATAGATATACTGATTATTCCTGTCAACCTCACCACCACTTTCTCCTTCTCCTTCTTCCCCCCCCCCCCCCCTTACTACCCTTCTTTCTTTTCTCTGTTCTTTTTGTTGAAGAAGACTCTCTCTCTCTCCCTCTCTCTTTTTTTCTTTCTCTCCCGAAGTTCAAGGGTTCAAAGAATGGGTATGGATTGGATTGGAAATAACATGAGCTGCGATGTCTGTACAATACTTCTTCCTGATCGTTGTAATGAAACTCAGCCAATGTATAGATGACGAGACGAGTCTATGGACTTCGAATTATGTACGCACATGTTTAGTTCTCGGAAGCGCAAGGAATAAACATACACCCTTTGAGTCCCAGTTCCACCTTCGTCAAGATACAAGAGTACGCGACATATGGGTGCAGTAAGCTGTTGGAACTCGGGATACTCACACTCAAACAGTAAAAAACAATAGAGCAGAATGACTGCAGGAAGATACGAGAGAAGGCAAAGAATAGGGCAGCAGTAAAGCTTGACCATGTACCAAACAAAGCCCTTGCCAGGTGTTCCAGCAGAAAAGAGAAGACTTGGTCCCGAACCAGCTTTCCCTGCTTCACCCCATCCACCGAAACGGAACTGACAGGCTTCTGGAAGATTTAGTTTGCTTTTTCTCCACCCACTATACATTTGCTTGTTGTAACCCGTAGCCGCAGCCAACAGGGAAGTATTCCGATTAGCAGATGCATGCACCTCTGCAGCTTTCTACACGCAGCTATCCGTTTGATGGTGGGCCAACACCTCAATATACAGCCGGAGCCTAAGAGAAGACATACGTTATGCAGTAAACAAACCTCTGGAGGAAAGGGGCTCTATTTTCTGGGAGATGCAGGTCACCTTCTAAACTTTGAGAGCTTGTGAAGACATCCTGCAGGCTTTTGTAGCCCTCCGGGCATGCACGTTTGCATAATATTACTCACTCTGGAGATAACTCAAAACAGGTGCAAGACACAAAGATGTAGACTTTCGGTCGCGGGAGGATAAGCATCAGATCAAAAATAATTATGCATCATCATCAGCAATGGATGAAAGTGCCATGAATAGATCCCTGGAAACCATCTCTGGTGTATATCCGGTGCGTGCATACACTTTTACACAGGATCACGAATGAACTGTATTCACATATATTCATTATCAGTGCTTGTTAGCGCTTTTTATTGAAGATTTTATGTTTCCTGCAAACTTTCACAATGGAATATTCTTGAATAAGATTCATGGTCGATCGAAGGATAAACTAGAGAATAAACTACACATGATAATGCAGGCAAATACTTGTAGTATTTGACCTGTTTGCCGTTTGATATAAGTTATGAAATCAAATCCTAGCTCGATGAGGTGCTTAAAATAATCTTTTTTAGTATTGTGACGTTAATTAAGCCGATATATGGAGAAGTAATTGTATAACTTTAATTAGTAGCATGATTTAGTATCATGACTACTCTTTCTCTGTTGATAAAATTCGATTCTGGAACAAGACCAATTGATCCCCACAATCTCTCAAAAGCCATAGTATTGCTGCAGGAACTTAGCGATCGCAAGGCTACCGAGCTGCGCACAGCATGAACAATGAACCCACGAGCGAGCGCGCTCGATGCGAATGATATCGGGTGATGCAAAGGCAATGCACATTTCCGCTTATTACTGTTGTTGTACACGCCATATTAATATATTACCAGATGCAAGCCCCGCTACACCAGCCACACATCCAAACAAACTTCGTGAGTCGTTTTCCCACCGGCTTCGACTTTCGAATTACAATCGGTACTTATTTCCCTAACGTTTCTCGATACCCTTACCAATAGGATGCAGTTATAGACATGATGGACGGTTGAGGTTGAGCGGGACAGGGCACCAAGATTGTTTCCGCTACCTTGCTATATATGTTAGGGGATAAAATCTAGAATACACGTAGAGGAAATTTGGTTTCGTTGAGGTCTCTTTAAACTTACAGATAGTGACCATGATGGTGCCGGCGCCAACCACATATGCATGCTAAATATTCAGTGAATGTATGTACGTATACTCGAAAGTTTACCATACAGTGGTTTTGAACAGGCCGTACGTCGAGCACCATGATAATATGTGAGTGGAGTAAACTATATTAATATGAAGATGCCCTGCGCATGCAGGAGTATTAACATCAATATATACACGCTCGTTTAGGTTGCGGACTCGAGGATTCTCAATCAAAAGAGGTTAGTTGCGTGTGATTACAGCTTATCCAATTGTATTCGCCATGATTATAAACACATATATAACAGAAATAACCCCCCTTCTAAAGTTGTCGCTGTGGTTATAGGTCTGCAGGTACAGTCCTCAAAATTCCGGGAGTATCTTTAAAGCTTTATTTGCTACGAAGTGGTGGGGTTCATTCTGACCGAGTTCTGGTTCGCCATGCACGGCCACGATCTATGTGCATGTATATGGTACACATGCTATGGAGGGAAGACGGTGGACAGTGGCTCATTTAGTCGTTTCATCTCTAGGAAAGCCACTGCCTAGGACTCTCCTTCGTTGTACTTGAGTGGGGCGAAAGGATCCATAAATTCGTATACAAACCTATATCCCTAGGCTTAGCTTAATTAAACCACGGCTGTCAGGCCAAATCGAAATCAATGGAACCCAATGGTATTTGGGAATCGTGATATAAATAGCCCGCAGTGTGATTGTAGGATGGGATTATTTATCACATCTTATCTAAGCATACTTGAGGCCAAATATATATATATACATCAAGAGCTGCTCTTACCTCGATCGAGCTCTCCTCTGATAATGCACGATGTCCATAACTCTTTTGGTTCCATTTGTTTTTGGTTCTACTGACTGTCTCCGGGATAGCTGTATTATATAAATGCATCCGGCACAGTACCTAACCTTACAATAACCATGACCAAGTAATTCTACCGATAAAATACGAATATCAGTACCAGACTCGCCAGAGCCACACCAATTGTATCGTGGCTACGTAGAAGGAACTCCCATTAGCGACAACAAATAAGGTTTTACAGACCAGAGCCCCAACACACCAGCAGATAAAAGCTTGGTTAGAAAAACAATATTTGGGGTATATTAAGGGATTGTGTTTGATATATAATAACTGGGAACATTGTGGCTCAGTATCAAACCATTTGGGGAGCCTGGGCCCCATGAACAAACATCTCAAAAAGGATTACTCTGTCGAGTGATAGTTTATGAATCAAATTGCGCTTACCACCTCGCTCAAAGAGTCTAGATCAAAAGGAAAAAAAGAAAGAGAAAAAAAATGTGCTAATCATACATTTGATCCCTATTGTGCAACGATTATTCCTGATTTTCGGGTTCCGGCATGATAAGGAGACACGCTTGCTTGACCTTCACTCGGAAAGACTGCTGCAGCTACACAAAACGACTTACATTGCATATGCTTCTCATTATGTCTCAGATCATCCCCAGAATCTGCATCCGCTACCACGAAAACATTAGCCATGATACTGCTGAACAAAGCTCTCTTATTTCACTGAGGATATGCACACCCTAGGCATAGACCTACCTAAAAAGATGTACCTGTGCATGATATAGACACTACATGTACATATACAGATTTATTGCTTGGTACTTCATAGATGAAACTTGATGAAACAGATACTTCAGAAACAATATTCTTTGGTCAGGAAGCACACAATGCCCAAAACTAGAAATACTAAAATAATCTCGAAACAAAATTGACCCAATTTGATATTCATTGCTGCTACCTCCGCGCCTTGATTAATACAAAGGACCCCCACACACAAAAAAAAAAAACCCGGATTCACAAAAAGATAAAGCGCGTAGACCATATTACTCCGAATCAATATCAAAATCTTCAGATGCATCGTCATCATCGTCATCATCCTCGGAATCAACAGGTGCAATCTTGTAGCTAACAGGTTTTGCAGCTCCTCTTGGAGCCCGGCCACGAGATACTGGTTTAGGCTCTGGATCCTCCATCTCTTCATCGGAACTCAACAACTGGTCGAGGGTCGCCTCAACGTCGATTTCTTCATCAGATTCGTCAAGAACCTTCTTTCTATGAGCTTGAGTAGTAGGCTTTGTGGGAGCTTTTTTGGCAGGCGCGGCTTTCTTCACAGGTGCAGCCTTCTTCGCGGCGGCAGACCTCACAGGTGCAGCCTTTTTAGAAGTTGGCTTCGTAGGCGGTTCCTCCTCCGAATCTGAAATGAGCATATTTTCATTCCCTTTAAGTTGTTTACCAGCATCATCAGACTCGCCCTCATCTTCACTGTCAAGATTAATTGCCTTCCTCTGTGTTGGTTTGGCAATAGTCTTCTTTAGGGCTTTGGCTGGCACTTTCGCCTTTGCTGGGCTTTGTTTGAATAATGTAACAGAAGCAGCCGCGCCGCTTCCTACACCTTTAACCATTGCGCTTACGTCGCCCAGGCCGTCATCATCTTCTGAGAGATCGGAATCTATATCGACAAGAGACTTCTTAGGCGCCGCAGTACGTTTTGGCTTACTTGCCACAGTTTGCTTAGGCATTACTATCTCATCATCCATGACATCCGAAAGATCAGAATCCGTATCCACCAAAGATTTTTGAGGAGCTGCAGCGCGCCTTGGCTTGTTCGTTATAGTTTTCGCCGGTGGCAATTCATCATCAGAAGCGTCAAAAATACTATCGATCTTTGCCTTCGTTGCTTGTTTGGCTGTCGGTTTCGCTTTAGCGGCTGCTTTTAGGGGAGCAGCCTTAGCAACAGTCATTTTCGGCCGCTCGTCTTCAGAACCGTTAAAATCGAATTCGTCTTCTGATTCAACCCTCGAAGCTTTTTTGCGTACTTCTGCTCTCACAGCTTCGGCCATGAACACGTCATCTCCGTCATCCTCACCATCGGATTCGGCCTTGAAAACATCGGTGCGTTTTATCTTTTCAGCTGCTGCAGGTGACGATGAAAGCAGCTCTGTGACTTGGGGCTTTCCGACTTTCGGCTTTGCGAGGGGTTTTGGCCTCGTCTTCTCTGCATTCTTTTCAAGCATTTCGAAGTCTTCATCACTCAGCTCTTCGATAATTGGTGCATTCTTTGCCGCTCGGGCAGGTGGTTTTTTGTCGATCACGTCATTTTTTTCGGCAGGTTTAAATCCTAATGTTGTCTGCTTCTTTGCATCTGCCTTAGCTTTGGCGGCAGTTTTCTTTTTTGACTTTGCTTCGTAATCAGACTCATCGGAGTCGGCCTTCTTTTTGCCTTTGGCACCTTTACCAACTAACTTCCCACGACGCTTCTGCTTCACGGTACCTAACAGGGCACGTCTCTTATCATCCTCCAAAGTGAGTCTCCACTCCTCAACGAAGGCGTCAAGATCAGTAGCCCAAAGCTGCTTTGGCGAGAGTTTTAGGAGCTCATCAATCTCGAGTTCCTTGTTGGCAACCTCCTTGAGGAGCTTGTCGACCTTTTCTTTAGTCAAGGACCAGATAGCCATCTATGACAACGTAAGCAAATTTGTAGAATGAACCAGCCAGGGGAAATTATTCATACGCACCCCCAAAAGATAGTTGTAACCATCACCAACCGAAGAATCATCGTCTTCCTCATCTTCCTGTGCGGCCTCGGTCTCGCCGGCACCTTTAGCCAGATCTTTTTTAGAGAATGTGTCGAAGTTCTTTCTTTTGAGCTCTGAAATGATATCCGCACGCTTTCTGCCCGAAACAATCAATTCTTTGTCGACGATCATCTTAATAAATCTAGCTTGGTTAGTGAGCCTGAGCAGTGTTCGGTTCATCTCGTTAAGCATATATTCCTACGAAGTGTCAGTGTCTAACTCAGGAATTAAACGCTTCTCACTGTGGGAATTTATACCTTTCGTTCTTGGTAAAGCTTTAGACGAATGAAATAGAATTCCTTCAGGATGTCGTTGACAGTGTTATATTTGTTGATTCTCCCCTCGGGATCGAAGGCAACAAGATTAGTTGTCGCAATCGTCTTCGATAGCTTGAACCTATTCTCAAGACCTTCTGCCAGTGCTTCCTTCATATGCTTTTCAGATTCCATGGTTATAATGAAATGCACTTTTTGTGGAGAGTTATAATCAACATAATCCTTGATAAATCTGGGTGTCTTCTCTGCTTTGATGATCTCCTCAAGTCTTTCCTTAAACTCCTGCGTCCACATCTTGACAGGCAGTTCTGTGACTTCACAAGTGACGTCATCAATCTGTTTCACGATACCAGTAAATTTGTATTTATCGTCTGACAGCTTCTCGATGTGTCCGGTCCAATTACGGTACCATGGCACCATTTCCTCCAACTCTTCGTTTTTCATCAAGCGGCGGATATTATTCACAACGTCTTCAGGGTTATAATTAGGAATGTTTGTGCTCCAACCAGTGCCGATACCGTCTGCACCGTTGATGAGAACCAGTGGCACAATTGGCGCATACCACAACGGCTCGATCTTCTTATCGTCGTCCAGGTTATACGCCAATAGAGGATCATCCATCTGAGGGAACAACTTTCTGGCAAAAGGTGAAAGCAGGGTGTAAATATAACGAGGACTAGCCGCATCTTTACCGCCATCGAGACGAGTACCGAAAGATCCTTCGGGTTCCAACAGATTGAGATTATTGGTTCCAACAAAACTCTGCGCCAAGTTGACAATGGCGCCTTGAAGAGACTGTTCACCGTGCTGATACGCAGTTTGCTCGGAGACATATCCAGCTAATTCAGAGACCTTGACCTGTTTTTTGAGGTTCCGCTTAAAACAAGCGAAGAGAATCTTGCGCTGGCCAGGCTTGAGACCATCAACCATAGAAGGAATAGAACGGATGTTATCTGCCATAGAGAATAGGATCAATTCCTTGTTAACGAACTCAGGGTAAGAGATCTTATCAACGCCATGATCGAGAAAGGTTCCTGGCTTATAAAGTCGAAGCCATTCCTTTCGCTCATCTGCCTTCTTTTTCGAGAATGCCAACTCGATCAAATTTCGACCCTCTTCTTCCATGACATGAAACTCCTTCATATGTTTCTCCAAATCGGCAAAGTACACCCTCGCATCCGCTTCGGTAGATGTACCCAAACCCTATCAAGGCATTAGTCATATGTATTCAAAGTCACTTTCTTTACATGTTGAGCTGACATACTTTGTAGTATTTATGCTCCCATCCCTTCTCAGTATTATTTGCCTTCCAATATTCGTATTCTGGCATAGTGAAGAAACTGAGCTCCTTGGTAGGATTCTTCAAAGAGCCCTTGTAAACCTTTACGATAGGGGTGATGAATTCAATCAAAAAGCCAGGTAGCTTCAAAAGACTAGGAAACTGGGTCTCGAAGAAGTTAATCAGCAATCCCTTGATATGGCTACCATCGTAATCTTGATCGGTCATGATCATTAAATGGCCATATCTCAACTCAGTCCTACTCTCATAAACCTTTTTGTGTTGTAAACCGAGAATTTGCTTAATAAGTTGGATTTCTACATTCTTCATGATTTGATCATGGGATGCGTCTCGTACGTTGAGGAGTTTTCCACGTAAGGGGAAGACACCGTATCTATCACGGCCATCAATAGCAGAAATGCCAGCTATTGCCAACGATTTGGCGGAATCTCCTTCTGTCAAGATAAGAACACATTCGTGGCCACTCTTCGTGCCAGCCTTGTTGGCATCGACAAGCTTCGCGTTGTTGATTCTAGAACGTCTAGAGCCATCGGTCTTCGTCAAAGCTTTATCGGCCTTCATATTGGCGTAGTCCAAGATATTTTTTACAACCTCGGTCTTAGCGACCTTCTTGATGAAATCTTCGCTAACCGGGCACTTGCTTCCAAAGGCAGTCGCCCTCGTAGTCAATTGTTCCTTTGTTTGGGATGTGAATGCCGGGTTTTCGATCAATGCGTTGACGAAGAGAAAGAAATGATTTCGAATTTGTGCTTGTTTGACAGCAGCGCCTGTCTTGTTCCTCTTCTTAACCAAATCCATAAGTTTGGCACCAATTTGATCGGCAATTGCGTTGACGTGTGTACCACCAGATGTTGTGGCGATACTATTAACAAACGAGACTTGCTGAAATGAACCATTACTAACAGCAAATCCAATTTCCCAGCGATCATTGATAATCTCGTGGATAATCTGAGGCTTGATATCACCGCCACCATTCTCTTCATGCAGGGCATTTGTATACATCTCACAGTATTTCTTGAAGCTCAAATTAATTCGCTCGCCGTTCAAAAAGACTTTCACGCCTTTCACAGCACCTACAATTTGCAAACATATCAGTATCACATCTCTTCAACTGAGTAAGGCTTACACACCAGCAAGATCGTAGACTCTTCGCTTGATGATTGCCTCTAAATCGTCGTCCATTCTCTCCATCTGAAATTTAGCCAAGTCAGGCTTGAATGTAATTTTGGTGAACTCTTCGCCTTTTGCATTTGATGTGATTTTGGCCTTTTCCATTTTACTCATGTTGTCTCTCCATGTCTGTTTGTACTTCTGCTTTGTGGCTTTATCACCAGTTTCGACGGTAAATTCGGTACTAAAAATATTGCAAAGCTTCGCACCATAACCATTACGACCACCAGTAACCTTTTTTTCATCATCATCATAATTAGATGATGTAAGAAGGTGACCAAAAATCAATTCCGGAACGTAGACTTTTTCTTTCTATAGAACTGTTAGCTTGAACTCACCACTATGTCTGATGGGGTTCTTGGGCAACAAACCGAGTGCATCTCGATTGGAATACCACACCCATTATTAAAAACAGATACGGTATTAGATTCTTTGTCCACCGTAACTTTGAGGGTGTCCATCTTTGGATCACGAATCTTGTTGTCTGCAGCATTCACAAGAATTTCATCCAGGATTTTTAAAAGTCCGGGAACCATGTTTATGGTCTTCCATTCCATGGAATTCGTGGCCGAATTGAAGACCCACATCTGTTTTTCGGTACGCTCGACAGAGCCAATGTAGGTGTCCGGGCGTTTGAGGATATGCTCTAATTGAGTAAGCTGTATAGATAAAGTCAGTAACTCTAGACTGCAAACTTCCAAGCCAGCTATTAATGCAAACCTTCTGGTAGGCATCTCCTCCAGATTTCTTTTTCTCTGACTCTGGACCATCGTCGGCATCTTCGAAAACATCATTGTCGTCCTCGTTTTCATCCTTTGCCTTCGCCTTCGCCTTTTTGGGGGCTGTTTTTTTCTGTTTCTTGTTGACCGGGGGTGTTGATCCTGGATCCTCAGAATCATCATCGGAACCTGCTGTTCGTTTTTTCGTTGCAGTCTTGGTCTTCGAGGTCGCAGCTTTTTTGGGAGCAGACTTTTTCGGTGCTGTCGCCTTCTTTGCCGTAGGTTTTTTCTTCTAATTTAGCTTTTAGCTTGCTGCTTAAGATGTGTTAGGTCGAGGAGCTGCAAGCTCACCACCGGTTCCGGGGAAAAGGGACTCTCATTCCCATCATCATCACCGTACATCATTGAATCGCTATCACTCATGGCTTCTGTGTGGGCTGATAATAATTTAGATGGAGTTTTGCAAGGTCTGTGATAGATTGAATGACAACCCGACAGTGCACAGGAGCCAAAGGTGTAAAGGTGTCCGAAGTAGGAATAAATCAATACAATTATCGTAGAAGTGGTCGTAATCTGATTCAGAACTGCCCGTGAGCAAAGGCCTGCTATGAGCAGCTTCTTTCCTTGCTAAGTTCTGCGTAGGAGGCCCGTGATCAATTTCGTGGGTTTTGCTGGTGTTTTGGGCTGGTCAGTTGCTTCGTCTGAGATGGGAGGCTGGTGATTTTTCAACGCGTTTTGTTTTGGTCTTGGCACTCTAAAATCCGTAGACCTAATATATACTCAAACCTACTATCAACATCAACAGAGCCCCTGGCAACGCTAGGTTACATACCAGCGAGCGCATCCCCTTGGAAGCACGCCTAATGCGCTTATTGCTTGATTGGAGTTTCTTAGACCAAGATACCCACAAATAACGAATGAACATCTGTAGAAATATTTCTAAGACTACATGTAAGACTAAGGACTAAGCTAAGACTTATGTAGGTACAGACCGTACAGTATCAAACACGTGATTTCTGTTCTGTGCGACGTTAATTGCGGCCCTATCGATCTAAGTGCAGCGATAAACTCTTATCGCGTTAACTGATGTTCCGACTGTAACACAGAAAGAACCGGAGCTCCTACACTTATAATCTATCCTTTGGACGGATGAAACTCTCAAATTCGCAGCCTGGACCGTGCACGCACTTAGTCAGGTAATATTGTTGCTTCTTATGTGCGGTAATAATAATAGAGCCAATCAAAAATCAACGCAAGTTACCAGATATGGCTAGTATCAGCTGAAAGAGGAAGGCTACGAATTTGAGAGTTTCATCCGTCCAAGGGATAAATGCATATATTAAATTTAAGTACATACATGTAAAGTAGAGAGCACTGTAGTAATCGTAGGCACATATAAGCTACAGAAAGTAGATAGATAAATGTTGCTACGGGGGCTTGTCCCAGGATTTTTGACACGGAGTTATACGTTGATAAAGACTCTCAAGGCGCGGGTGTATGTATCGATGATAATAGCACGTACACGTAATCTGTTACCCGAGAGAAACCGTATCTTCTTACATGTATGTCCCTCACACATATGTACCATAATTTTCGGAGATGATTACGTTGTATGTTCCTTTGAGTTCTCACAATTGATGATATAACCTCTTAATATCCTACTCCCAACCAGACCTACAGTAGGTAACATGGCTCTTTTAATTTTGTCAATTTTCACTACATAGATGTGCATGTAGCAAAAGTGACACCCACAGCACCTACATACATGTACATCTAATAAGTATATAATTATAACCTGCATATGCAATGTGCTTTTATAGTCTTCTGATTGGTTCATTGAGAGCTGTTTTTGTTTCACTTGAAACATGTTGTGTTGGATATTAACATAGGGTATTGTGCTGAGTGTTGTCAGAGTGTTAATAAGGTTTCTACTGGTTCTGGGAATCAGTTAGTAGTTCGATTTTAGCAGCTTGGTGGCTGCTAAAGGGATATACCTGTAGTTTTAACTGGAGAAATTTTCTGACCTATCCGTTGATATATCGGGGATATCAGAAAAGGCACATATTGACCAGAGCAGATCTAGATATAGTGATGGATGTTGCCTGCCAGGAGGGGTCGAGGGCCACGCAGCGGCTTGCCTGTATATTGGACTGATTGATATACATATAGTACCGGCCGAAGGCTGGAAACTACTTGTATACATGTATATATCCAACATCTACTCACTAGAGGGAATGTATCCATGTATTCCATCAAGTGACTCTGCACCGGTGCATGAGCCAAGCATAGGTTATGAGTAGATTTGATGAGCTCCGAAATCCTACTAAGGTCTTAATATGTAGTCTAAATCGAGATTCATGTGGATATTCTGAATAATTTTTCCAAACCGTGCAAATATATGCGAGTGATATCTTATGATCCATGCACAAAACCCATAAATTGCATTTCAGTGTAAAACAACCAAGCCCATACACTTAATATATAGTACTCAGTATCATCGTCTATTCTAGTCTGTGCCCCCAGGGTTGGCATTTACACATGAAATGCAAGGGGTCAAAAATGGCAGTGGTAAAGCTATCGAACAGAACACCCCTTCAGCGGAAGAAATAAACCTAACAAAAAAAGAATGTGCCGTTATAACTGGCCTCTTCACTTCTTGGGTCGGTTTCCCTCAGCAAGCCTACGTATCGACCAATCAAAAAATACATATACATTTGTTGCAGTAATGGTGTTCCGGTATGCAGATGGAGAATGTCCCTCCAATGAGATCAGGTTGATAGAAGCGTTTGTTGGTATTTTAATTCTCGTGTCAGGCCGTCTTTGAAAGCCTCGATCGCCGATAATTAGCACTAAGGATTCATAAGTACATTTGCTGTTTTCTTGTCGTTGGTTATTGGCACCAGGCTAGTTTATGGTGTTTCAACGCCCAATTACGGCATTCACACATCCCATAGCCATGAGAAGCTTCCTACCTGGTATTGAGGTTCAGGTTGTGTATTGTGATAGAACTGGTTTTGGTTGGCTGTGATCACATCGTGGGTAATTTTTGGCTCTATCTTGAACCGGTTAGGGCTGATCATTTGTACTATTTATAGAAGCTTCTTTCGACCTCATAGCTTATCCTTACCCGGATATCGCGAGTTCGAAAATAAACTATGCGTCTTGTGATCATTGAAGGGTATTTCTAGTCAAGGCTTGCTTTTGTTCATTTGAAACTAGTTATGCGATCTGTATCTATGCTGAAGGATCGATTCTTTATGTAAATTCTGAGGGTCGTAATTGTCCTCGTGTTCCTGATGGTCGAAAACAACCCAACAAAGGGCAATATTTTAGGAAGAAAACTTTGTGTATCTAAGTTCGATAGTAAAATTCAGATCAGTTTTCGCCAATTCGAGGCTTCGTTACCTATGTAGTTGGCTACGGTCAAGCTCACTCATATCGGATTTTAGGGCCTATATGTTTTGAGATCACCGTCCCCACTTTCAGCTGCGGGGAAATCGGGGTAAGCACTGAAAACCGAGTTTATATCAGTAAAGTGAGCCCGTCCCTGCGGTAGATCAATTATCGGTACCACCGCTCGACAGCTTCATAAGCCCGAAAGACAGACCCGAACCGGTTTATTCTCCACGGTAACACTCAAAGTTAAGGATCGGCCGTTAAACCAAGTAGAATATGAACTGATCTCCAAAGGTCTCTACTATGGGTACTCTATATGCATATGCAGCAGAGGAATGGTATCAGCCGGGTTAATCCTTGTCTTGATATCTCCGCTCCGAGGGCGGGAGTAGTGGTGCGTAGAGGATATGTGTTTCGGAGGTTTGTTTTCTTCCTCCTGTTAGATACCAGATATCTGTTCCAGTGCCCCGGAATCTGGTAGCTGCCCGGAATCCAAAGCGGGATAAGCCTTTGTTGTTGCAACGCAAAAACTGACATGTCCGATCATTGATCTATTCATGATTGTGCGCCGTTGAGGTAGATAGCAATCTTCTCCCCAACCAAGTGTCGGAATTTTCTCATGCACAGTGACTTGCACCAGGTGTTATCAGAGATTTCCGAAGAATGCTAAGGTTGGTTGTACAAGGCCAAAAATAGTACCTCAAGCGGGTTAGGAAAAGTTTATTCGTTAATGTCAGATCGAGATTTGCGGTGTGACGGACATGTGTTGTCGCGACTCGCGAAAACAAAAAATGTTATGGCCGGTCGAGAACAATAGTAAAAACGGTCTTCCCTTTGTGCTTGATATCTTCCGAAGAAGTGATTATGTTTTGCCGCACGGCTACTGGGGTTGTTTGCATGGAGCACACCGGATAGGTAAGGGGAGTACCGGACGGGGCTATTTCGCTCTCCGAGTTTGTTATTTGATGCCTTTGAACGAGTTAGACATGCAGTACAATGGAGAGGCTATGCAGTAACAACCTCGCGATCGGTGTGAAGGCTAATATGACGATGTTCGATATAAGTGTAAATCCTGAATCTACAGAGAAGTTCGTATCGAAACACGTGGAACTGAACTCTCCACAGTTTTTATCCCTCGAACTATCGAGAATCGTAACAGCATGTATGAAAAAAATAGAATTGATAGCCCCGAGGGGGGGGGGTGATTAGCAGAGCTAGAGGGGCTGGTAGCAACCGTTGTTGTCTTGGTGGGCAACTGAAAATGCCTACTGTGTTTCTATTACCATCCTGGGGCTGAGCAGGGGGTGTATCATTGGCGGTAAGTAGCGAGTTTCAGCGGCGACGTCAGCGGCACCTGTCTTTCGGTGCGTAATAGTTGAGAATAGGCTTCGTGGGGTCCAAGTGTGTTAGTTATTTGTGTAGAGATAGAAGGCTGTTTCTAGGTTTTCATCCGAATTTCTTTTCAGAGTTTTAGAGCAGCGTAGATAGAAGAAGTACATTATGATAGGGCCGAATCACGGAGGTGTATGAAGGTGGTCCGTGGATTGTCCTCACTACCATGTAGATCCAAACAAGTTAAGAGTACGGATTGGTTGAAATTGTGATAAGCGACCGGATGCGGAGCCGACCAGCCCTGTGAAAATTAGATTGGGCGAGGAGGTTTGATGAAGCAGAAAATTTTGACGATGTAGACGCACAAGAAAATGTTTTGTAAACCAGGAGAGAAGCAAATAATGAAAAGGTGACAGATTATTCGTACGTTGTGGGTAAGTACAACATCGTGATTTTGGACAACCGTTGAGCGGGCGTCTACAAAGAACTGCAGGCATATGTAGAGTAGCAGGCGTTAGTACTCTAGAGTACAGAATGGAGGTTACCGTTGCCTATTCTCTGCCTAGTACCGTGGGGTTTTGCGCGACTAGTAGGATTAGTCGGGGGGTACCAACTGCAAGTGGGCGGTTTTCCCCTGTGAGTTCCCCTGAAACTAACCACATGGGTAAGGATGTGGAAGTGCCCGTCCCACAGTCTGCCCTGCACGCGCCATGAATATTGTGAGACCCTCAACGCCCAGAGCTGCAACACGACACAGGGAAGTGCTAATGGAAACAATAACATCCCCGTCCGAAGAATCCCTTCTTTTTCTCCCATCCTTCGTCCGAAGAGTTCTTCCTTCTCGTCATCCTCCTAGGTAGTCCGTCTGAGAAGAGTACCTTCATACCTAGCAGCAATACGTACCATATTTGCTCTACGGCCTGGTGTGCAGCCACATATCCTCCTCCCTATCCTATCACATCTGCTTTCTGCAACATATTCCATAATCCAATCTCCCGTAGTCTCCCCACCCTCCTACTCATAATATTTTTGCAGTTCAATCTTCCCACCTTCTACATACTCTCTCCGTCCCTCCTCCCCCCCTCCTCCTATCATCCAATCCCCACCCCTACCCCTCATACACACCTGCCCACCCCTACGACATATTCATTGTATTGCTTTTTCCCTCTCGAAATTGCAAGCAATAGCTTGCTAGGTGTGCGTGTATCACTATCCATCCCTATCTAAATGGTAGTGTGTGCACTGCTAGTGTAATTATCTTTGGCACATTCCTTTGGTCGACCTCTTGCCTCCACCACCATTCCGAGCAGCCTGTCACTGTCTGGCTGAATCATTACCTTACATTACTCGGGCATTATCCACCCTCATCTCGCGCATACATACATACATACATACATAGTTGATCTATCTGTGTCAGCACCATTCACACATATTAATCTTAACAACCAACCCCCTAGTATTGATACCTAGCAGCATCCCTCACTCCAGACGTCCAATATCTTGCTAAAGTGCCCTCATTTTGCATGCCAACTTGACCTTTTCTTGTGCTTGGAATCCTGCCATCTCGTGTCCCACGATTTAGCACTGAGCTCCAGTACATCCAACATCCAACAACGCGTCTTGTTCTACATTCCTCTCAACATGACGCAAACCGTCAATACAACCAGACCCAGTTCCGCAACGTCAATCGAGACTACCACCGCAGAAAGTATTATTACCCCTATGGAGAACCAGAGCCATTTGGAACCCAAGGAACAGGAGAAGGAGTTGATGGAAGCGAGGGAGGTGGAGAAGGAGGTAGAAGTGGAGGTGAAAAAGGTAGAGGTGAAAAAGGAGCACATTCCAATCTCTAAAACAACTGAGAGTATGGTGACAGTCCGACTTTCCGATCCCGAACTCGTGTCCCTCCCTTCTCCAACTCCGACCTTGAAACTAGTCGACGATAAGGCAGAAACATATTCACTTAATAGTGAGCCAACGTACGCCGCCGAACGAACAGAGTCACCATTATCAGAGGAGATGGCATCTAGAAGAACTAGCAAGGACTCGGTGGCATCTCATACTGGTCCGGATTGGGGCTTGTTGGAAAGGACAGAGGGTGAACACACCAAAGACGATGCTTCACAAGAGGTTGGACATTCTCTCGTGATTTCGCGCGCCACTGCGCTCCCATCAACAGCTATGAGTGAAGATAATAGTTCTGACCCTGCTCCTACTGTTCAGGGAACTGCTTTCCTTCTTGCAAGGCTCGAGCAAGAAAATAAACGTCTCGAAAAGGATCCTAAAGCCCTACTTATCCATCCTGAGCGCCCTCCTTCATTGGCTCAATTGAAAAGGATGATGGACAAGCCAGACCCAGCAACGCTCAGATACTCGATGCTGCCAGCACCTCCCCCTCTTACTGACCTCGATTTCTATGCGGCGCTAGTTTCCGACTATAAAAGAGCAGCCTTGAAGCTCCCGCATCTTCTTAGTCAGAAAATCCATGGAGGTGTTCCACCACCTCTTCGTGGTGTAGTATGGATTGCCATGTCTGGAGCAAGAGACAGCAACCTGGAAGGCTTGTATGATCAATTGTTGGGTGAAACTTCTCCCTATGAACAGTTGATCGGTAAGGACATAGGTAGGACGGGACTGGAAATGTTTAAGCAAGAAGGCGGAGAGGGACAGCGAATGTTGGGAAGAGTTTTAAGAGCATTCTCGATTTACGATACGCAGATCGGTTATTGTCAGGGGTTCGTACGGTTCTCCCCGAGGTCGCCACCGGTTTCTAACTATTGCAGTCTTGGGTTTTTGGTCGGTCCTTTGCTCATGCATATGGGAGAGAAAGAAGCGTTCTGTGTCCTGGTTAGGTTTGTGGCATCTAGTTGGGTGCGAATTTAACAAAGACAGCATGCTAAGAGCTTTTAGACTCATGGAGCATTACGATCTTCGCTCTTGCTTCTTGCCAAATATGTATGGCCTTCAACTGCGCATGTACCAGTTTACGCAACTCCTTGGAACACATCTTCCTGAGCTTGCAGCGCATCTCAATTTTCTCGGCATCCAACCCACATATGCTTCGCAATGGTTCCTCTCATTCTTCGCCGTTAGCTGCCCCTTACCAATGCTTTTCCGCATTTACGACGTCATTTTTGCAGAGGGTGCACCAGAAACCATCATGCGTGTTGCATTGTCTCTAATGAGGAGGAACCAAAAACGGTTACTGGCATCGTCTGAATTTGAGGATGTGATGCAGATGCTTCTTGCTAGAGGCCTGTGGGACACTTATAATTGCAACGCAAACGACCTTGTCCAGGATTTCGTAGGATTGACAGGTGTGGTGACAAGAGAGGCATTGACGGAATTAGAAAAGAAATTTAAGGAGGGAAACCCAGATGATGGCACCGTGAAAGTTGCGCCAAAGCAGCAGCAGGTCCCAACCACTGATCTTCAAGCCGCTGCCTCAAGGTTTTTGGGTAGAATTTGGGGCGGTAGTTCGTCTCCTGGGACGGTCAATCTGAGCCCAAGCTCCTTGCAATCATCTCGCCCCGCAAGCACCGTAATGATGAGAAGGACGCCATCCAAACAAAGTTTATCAACTGTTAGCTCTTTTGAAGCTTCCGACAGTAGTATTAGCAGTGCTAGCACTGATGCTACAACACTATCGCGCTGCTCATCTATTACACAAGATGACCGGAGATTATCGACGAGATCATTCTCCTCACGAAAACAGAATAAGGATGGCGAGTTACATGGGCAGATTGAGGATTTGCTCATGGCTTTGAGTCAACTGCAACGCGAACATGCAGCGAGAGTAGAGGAGCTTGCGGCAGTCAAAGCCGAACGTGACGAGGACCGGCAGCTCACCAAGAGGCTTGTAGAGCTTCTCGGGAATGGCTCCCAGAACGAAGAGGAAAGTGTTGCTGAGATTAGTGATATCTGTGATCACATCACTGAAACCCTAGCAAAAGCCGAGACAGAAGCTGCCTCATCACGAAAACCCCCTACATCAACAGTACAAATCAAGCAGGATCTCGACCATACTCGGGAAAACCTATACCGAGAACAACTTAGATCCAAAGACTTCTCTAATCGGATAACTGAACAAGATGCCGAGATTGCAAGGTTGAAGGGTCAGCTCCAGGATGCCAGATCAAAATGGCAAGAGAGCCAGAAAGAGAAGCAGCAGCTCCAAAAACAAATAAGTGATCTAAAATACCCTCTACCTTCACCAGAGCTCAAATTCGACAGCAATGGCGAACCTCAGAAAGGAGGACTGAGAGAACTTAGGCTTGGGCGCTCAAATTCTACTAGATCCCAGCAAACACCTACATACAACAAGCGCACTAGTTCCTTGGGTATGCACCAGCTTCTCTCATCTCAACAGAATAATTCCCCTGCCAATGAGGATACACTTCTCCTCGAGCTCGTCGCGAGTAAAACAGCTGAAGCTGTTGCGAAACAAGAAGCGGAGGAGGCTAAAGCAAAACTTGAGGCATTGAGGAAAGTTCTCGGGGGCGGGTCCAACAGTACCAGGAACGCCGGCGGCAGTACGCCGTATTCACCCGGTCCCAGACTGGAGAGAGTAAACAGCACTGCAAGCTTTTCATCATATGTGAGCTTTAATTCGAATACCCCACCCACACCCAGTCAACCTAGCAATACCAATAGTGGTGGAGGTGGTTTCTGGGGCGGATGGGGGAAGAAGGCAGCAGTTGATTCACGATGATCCCTGACTTTGGACTGGCAGAAGTCAGCTTTGCCTGATTTGATCGGACCTTGGGTGTAATATTATACGAAGAACAAGATGAAAACGCAAGTGGTAGAATGGCGCAAAGCATGCAAGTTGGCTATAAGAACGGAAATGGCTTTGTCTGGGTTGTCTTTTTATGATTTCTTGTCTATTTTGAGTTTAGTATATTGCGCTCCTCAATATTCTCTTTGCTTCATATACCATACTACTGTAGCGGTACTGCTTTTATTGAGCGGGGTTTGTATGTTTTATAGCTGGGAGATATATTTCCTGTTTACTTGGTTTTTGTGTTTCTTCGGATACATTGGGTGGGGTTTTTCGCTTTTTTTCTCTCTTTTTTCTTTCCTTTTGCTTTTACCTGTCTTTTTTTCGGCTGATGAAATTTCTTGTTTATTTGGGGAACAGCTAGTTTTTCGCTTTCTCTTTCTCTTTCCTTTTCTCCTCTAGGGATTATCCTACGATGCTCGTTTTTTTTTCTTCTTTTTCTTTCATGATATCGATGCATTTGATCCCAACAAAAAAAAAAATGTCATCACAAAACGATTTCGGCCGAACCTTTATCTCTCCTCTCGTCAACTTCTTTACTTGTTAATAAAAAACTAGTTTCTGAAGCTTCTTTTTGCGGATACCTCCTATGTGTGTGTTGGATAAGCAATAAAACCAGTGGATCATCGATACTCACTCGCCCAGCCGGGCCGAGGCGTACCTACATTCACTCATGTATGCGTTATCACACCACCTTGCACACTATGCATCTCTAGGGGGTTCAACAGCATCAACAGCACACATGTCAGTTCTCGTAGAGTAGTGCTATTGCAGCAATTGCAATAGCGACTGGGTCTGCTGCATACTCTAGAGTGAGAGAAAAAAATCTCTTAACGAGGTGCGCCGTTGCAATTGCCATTGCAGATTTCACCGGGATAACCGATATTGCCCCCCCCCCCCCTGTCAACTGTCCGCGTCGGTTGCAGGGGTGGATTAGAGTAGGTGCGCACTCTGCTCCGGGATGGAGGCTACATATGCGGAGAAGGAGTTTCTAGGCGTGCTGCGATCGCGAGCGGGTAGATGTGGGGGAGGTTTGTCAATGGTGTGATGGGTAAGGGTTGTAGTCATGTGATATCACTCGGAGGGGAAATGCAATATTTGGACCCAGGAACTTGGTTTTTTGGGGGGGCCTAGCTAGCCCCGTGTGTCACATTTGTTTAGAGAAAGAGAGATACATCGTAAACGACCGATTTGTATAAAAAAAACGCCTGAACTCAAAACCATAAGGAAAATAAAAACGAAATCAAGGAAAAAAAACAATGGATGTTGCACACTTAGCAGTCCAAAGGAGGCACCACAATACCGCTTCTCCTGGTGAAATTTACCATCAGAGAAGGCTTTCTCCAGAGTGTGTAGCACATGTTGTCACGGTCCCAGTCCAGGTCCTTATTTTTCAACTCCATATCGTAAGTCCACATCATCTTAGCAACGATAGCACGCATCTCAAGGAGTGCCAAATTCCTGCCCAAGCAGACACGGGAGCCAAGCATAAAAGGCTGACTGGCCTCCTTCTTATCGGTGCAACTGGGGTCGATCCATCTCTCCGGGATAAACTCATATGGCTTGTGGAAGTTTGCTTCAGAGTGCGTAGAGGCCCACGCTGAAACAGAGACCTCGATTCCTTTGGGAACGAACATTCCGTCGACGGTCTCGCCAGGGCTGACTCTCGGCATACCAACTGGGACTGGAGGGTAGATTCTAAGAGTTTCATCAATGACCGCGTTGAGGTACTTGAGCTTCTCGGTGGAGATGCCATCGATGTCTTCATAGTTCTGGAAGGCGTCACGGATCTCGGTGGTGAGTTTGGCATATGCGCTGGGGTTCTTGCAGAGGTAGTAGGTGAATCCTGAGAGGAAGGTTGCGGTGGTTTCAGAGCCAGCGAGAATGAGGACGTTGGAATGGGATTGGAGCTCGTCAACTGAGATGCCTTGGGCTTCCTTGGCGGCGAGGATACGTGTGAGGAAATCCTTGCGAGGAGTGTTGTTGTTCATACGTTTAATGATCTTGTCTCGACTGTACTGGAAATGGGCCTTCCTTGCCTCGGCGGCACCTGGCGGGGTGATGTACTGCTTGATGTATTTGGTGATTGGGACCCTCTTGAATACCGTTATCCATGGAAGAAATTCGATACTCTTGAAAATAGAATCAACCCAGAAATGAGGTTCAGCTGTAGAGTATGTTAATATTAAATTTCGTCAATTGATACTCAGAAAGAATGAACATACCACTCTTCAAACTACCAAAAGGATCACCAAAAGCCAAATCTCCAATAATATCAAAAGTGATATAATTGTACCACTTTACCATCTCTTCACCCTGTGGCTTATTTGTAGCATGGGTTTGAATCTGCTTGATTAATAGGTCAACATATTCATGTACGATATCCTCCTGTTCCATCAACGCCTTCTGTGAGAATCCGTGACTGAGGAGTTTGCGCATCTGTCCATGTTGAACGGGGTCCCGGGCAGAGACAATGCTGGGATGATACTCGTTCTGATAGGCGTCAGACTTGAGGAATTGTTGTCTTCCACCTACATGGCCATAGATGTCTTTCCATGAGCTTGCAGAGTTAAATGAGAGCTGGTTTGGGGAGATTCGGACGACGGGGCCGTATTTATCGTGAATCTCCTTGTGAGTTTTCGGGGACGTCCCTGAGGTTAAAATACGCATAAGCCATACCTATTTGATATAGGATATTATTAGTTATTTCTTCACATTATAATATAAAATAGGTAGAGTGAAGACACACATGTGATACGGCAGCACGCTTAGGCCCCGGAAACTTTGACAGAGGATGAAAGTAAATGTTGTAAATGGCGTGACTGACAAAATAAACAATGACCTAATTTTTAACGTTAATTAGTACGTGGTAGTACCTGGGTAAAGCGTAGGGCTAAAATCAAGCTTACCAGCACTCCTGAGATCGTCACTAGATCTATCACATTAAGATCTGACACATTGTGTGCTCCAGCAAACTTCGATAACAGTGCCATTTTGAAATTTATATCAGCTTGGATGATCTTGGAGAGTTTGGTTTTCGAAGTTGTGGGACGAGAATATAGGATATGAGCTGAATGATATGAATTGTAGATATTATCGTGGGGAAGGGTACTATATATGTATCAAAGGTTCGGAAAATCGGCATGGCTGGAGACAATATACGGCCTTCATTACAGCCGGCAGCCATGCAGGATCATTTGGGCTGGTACCCCACACCATGGGCGTCGAACTGCTGGAATGACAAAAACAGCAACTGAAAGACAGCTATGGGCAATGACCATCGTGCCCCTTTCGTGGCACCGAGTTTACCATATGTAACTCTAGCACTCGGAGCTCCGCATCGATCACGAAGTATAGTATATCCCAGGGAAGTGCAAGAAACGGACCTATCAACAGTACCATTTTTGTCGAGGCATTGCATTTATTGGCAATAAATTTAATTGGGAATAGTTATCCTGTGGGTGGACAAGCAAGTCCCTCAACTGAGCAGTAATAGTTTAAATTCACGCTAACCCCAAGGTGACGTCCTCTAGTTGCCTAAATTAGATAGCACCCGGAAGCTTCGGGTTCCGAGCGGGCCTCTCTCTCGGACCCCGGTCGGCATGTCGATCTCCCTGATGAGGTGTAAAGCGCCGGGCCGTTCTTCGTTTCAGTTTTTTGAGATCAACGTCGGGGTGGTAGTGGTGGTGGTGGCAGCGCTCGTGCTTGGTGCTTTGGCGCATGGACAAACGTTAATTACCATGTTGAAATTGTTGTTTGAACTCAGAGACATTTCTCATTGGCAACCATCTGCTTATACAACCGCATGTTCAAAAGGACAGGGGCTTTAATGGCCTTCGAGAAAGGCCGGAGAATATGCTGTATCTGGTGTCTCCACTGCCGACAGCCGAAACTAGCTACATGTAGGTATATACCTCCACCAGTTAACGGTTTCTGAATGAGAAACCATGATGAACCAGGAATTCACACAACCCCTTCCTGTAGACTATGTTGGTTGCTGAGAGTGATTTTCGGAACATGTCATTCCCGTTGTAATAGTTGATTATTAACTAGGGTAGAGGTTCTTGGTACCCCCATTGGGAAGTAAATAATTGTTTATTAGGTGGATGACACCCAAAAGTTGCAACCTGTGTCACATCACAATTTTTGTTCTCGCAGACACACACGCTGGGAAAGCCGTGTTTCCCTTCTTTTTACCTAGATATTTCGGGGCATTTGGCCGAGCTGCGGGGTTGCTCCCAATAACGCGTGGCAATATTTCTTTTAATTTGCGATCAGGAGGCCAAATTTAAGCAAAAAAAAACAACAAAAAAAACATCGCTCTTGCAACACTGGCTTGCAAGTTTTTTGATGTAGTGGACGTCCACTGTCGCACAAGACGTCGAAATTACCTTTTATGGCGAGTATGAGCGAAGATTAGCGCTAGATAGGAGAATTCCCACGCCCTGTGTGACCATCTGCTGAACTAAATTAGTGGTGTATACATAGAGTTCGACAAGTGAAAATTGAATGGCCCAAAGACCTAAAAAAGAAGACATCCTTGTGGCAACTATGAAGAGATATTTCTTGGGAATCGATGCCCACATCCAGCTGTGTATAGCCGGTCATACGACACATTAAAATTTCCACCTTGAGTTCAATGGCCCCAGTTTTCTGGTCTTCAAGCTGGCTGTAGGTGACTGGTTTAGCAGTCAATGAGGGAGGAAGCCCCGAAGACCGAGCGAATGGGCCACAAGGATGGTTAACTGAAGGACTGGACGATAACGACAGCCAAGGAGGTATCGATTGTAGTGGAGACTAATCACGCCAGGTATCGCAATAAAAAATAAGTTTTGAAGTTATATGTTGATTAATTTGCAATTGAGAACCCTCACAATGCTGTTGCAACGTCATCTAGTTTTAATTACGTACGCTTCAGTGATGGGCACAGTTCGGCTGACCATCAGCTCAGTCTTACTAGGTCACTCAGACTGTATTCATGCACGTATGTAGTAATATGTGTCCCAGGATGACTTATGAAGATGCAATATTATGGCAGACAAACTATCGAACATTTCTTCGTAACATCACCTATGAATGTGTGGTGAGACGTCAGAGCCGGATCTTTCAAAGAATCGTCATGCTCAAGCCTTGTGCCTATACCTTAATACGAATACGAGACGGAATGGGATCTAGCGGTCTATGAACTGGAATGTTGGAGCCGATGGGAACTCTGCTCCAGCCAGAGGTACAGTGTCCAAGCACCCTTTTAATAACACGTCAATATTTACGGAGCGAAATCCTTCCATCAACCTCCACCAATTCAGTGTATCCATCTGCCTTACCCGGGCTTCGCATCATGAGTAAACAGGAGAAACTAACCACACCGATCCCTTACTTGATGCGAAACTATTGTTTTCATGAAAGGGTGCGCGTATCCTTATCTCTACCGCAACATGCAGGAACTCCGATTCGGCCAGCGTTTGTTTTGGTTCCGGGTACCCACGAGGAAGTTCATGAATTTAAGAACCTAGATCTATTTTTTTATATTCACTGCAGGCGTGGCAGACGGGATGTATGCATTGCCTTGCGGGAGTGGCGCCGCCGGCCGGTCTTGTTTGCGATCATACACCTGCACTCGGCCCTCAGCCCTCGGGTTCCAGAGCTCCGAGATTTGTGAAACCTAACCCTCGCATTTTCTGCCCAGTCTCTTGGAAGAGGTTACAGGTCGAAGTGGCATAGCCCCGTAGTCTATATAACTTAGTGGAGCGACCACAAGGGCCGTGTGTTTCTGCATGTTCTCAGTCACATCGCCGTCATCCAAACCTTAACCTTAAAAATTGCTGGGATTCTATTGATTCATGAAATATCACTCGCTGAGATTGTCTAACAGATGTTTCGAACCTACCCTCAACGGTCACCATGGGGATATCACTCAGTTCTCTCTCTGCACTTGCAACCCTCTAACCCTATTGACCACTGCCAACATCTCCAACTCCCTGCACCTCACTAGCTTACCCCCTACCACTGTCCCACCCCTCAGCGCATCTAAACCACCCTCATCCAAAGCGCGCTTCAGGTAGCTCGCCCACCGCCTCATCGTATATTTCAGGTCTAATTTGGGCATAAGGTTGAGTAACTCGGCACACGCATGCGTTTGCCCCTCCTCGACCAGCTGATCCAGCCCCGAGAGGTCCACAGCCTCATCTTCGCGATCTCGGCGTTGAATACTATGCATACCTTGGGCTCGGGGTGAGTGTGTGAGACGATGAAAGTCTGGCAAGATCGGAATGCGACTAGTGACGCTGCCGTAGGTGTCGTCTTGGTCGACGGTGACAGGGAATTGCGCAACGATCTCGCGTGCACGGGGGGTGATGTCATGGGCATGGTAGGACTCCATTCCAATGACAGTATTGGCGATAGTTAGGTCTGAGGAGATAATAATTTAGTCATCTGCAGTGGGTGTTTCATGGGGGTATGGATATAGTTACAATCGCCGCATCCTAAGAAGAGAGATATTAGTACAGACGGAGAAAGGCGTTAGTGGAGCAACCATCTTACCTCCGATAATTATTACAGTCGAAACACCACAGTTCTCGAATAATGCTTTTGCCTATAAAGTTATAAGATAATTAGCAACCATATTGCAGTATCAATATCACTGGAAGACGGACTTTAGAGACAAAAGGCGAGATCGGCTCGGACTTAATCAGCTCCTGCATCCTACGATCCCTCACTAGGAAATTAGTAGCACTCGTATCCTCATCGATTAGTAAAGTAGTCGCGCCTAAATTAATATTAGACCCCGAAATAGTAAACATGGAAAGCAACGTCTGGACCAACCGATCTCAACGGCCTCCTGGATATTTGCAGCCATAGAAGTGCTCCCTGAAGCATCTGTCGAGGTAAAGCTCGTCGTGGTGGTGTGTGGTCCTGGGAGGTTATTGATAAATGGCGATATATCCGTTCCAACGACATTCCGGCCATCTTCGGCGCGGATCTTGAACGCGTTGATGTCGGTGACTACGAGTTCTCTGCCATCTCCAGGTACAACATTGTATATTCCAAATTCCTGATATCAAAGGTTAGCTCGACGAGTCACTTGAGACGCGAGTGGGTATGTAGTTACCAATGCTTCTAATAGTGTAGTTTTACCATGGAAACCACCACCAGTAAGAACGGTAATTCCACGAGGAATTCCCATTCCCTCGACTGCGATTTTGGCTCCCGCAGCATCTAGAACATCGGTTTCAATCCTCACCTACAGCCATTAGCGGTCGTCGCTGCGCAAGAAGATCCCGGAAAGCAACACACTTTCAAGGGCTCTGGTGCTACAAATGGCACCGCTATATCTTTTGACATCGGGTAGGGACTCGCCCCCGAAGCTCTCGGAAGAATTGAACCATTCCCCACAAAAGCCACAAGATTATATTTCCCCAACGCTTCTCTGAGCGCTTCCTGGACTTCTATAGACCTTATATGCTCCCAAACGTTCTTGGAGTCAAGATTCTTCCACAAAAGTCCCTTTTGGACCAATGCCGGGATCTGCTTCAATATCAGGTCCTGGGCTGCATCAGCAAGAATAGTCCGTCCCCGCGCAGGCAAATTGAGCGTAAATCGTAGTTCGATGAACGAGTCCTGGATCAGGCAACTGGTACGCTCGAGGACCTGCTGTGAAGGATAGTTTATTCCAAAATCGCCACCTTTAGGGCCGGACCATCCGCGGCCGCTTTCGCTCACGTCGAGACCGTGGGATGTAATGACCTGCTGTACCTGTCGAGTGATGTAGTCACAGAAGGCTATTTTTCTGTAAGGCGGAGAGGGGAATGAGTATTTGGTGGATAATTATGGGGAGGCAAGGGGCGCTTTACCTGGTACGGGTATTGAATGTATCTCCCGGGATTCCTGCATCATTTGTAGAGACTTTAACTCGGAAACGGGACGGAGGGGCGAAGCTGTCACTTTGGACTTTGTCGATAAAGAGCTGGTAATCGATATTTTCGGTGGCGTGAGT